TTTTCACTTCTTTAGAATCTTCAATTAGTGTTAAAAGAACTTTAAAACTTCAAAAATCCAATTGAATCCTTCAATTAATCATTTCCTTGACTTAAATGACAGATTAATATTTTCCCAAAAATCATAATGAAGCTTTCAATTGATACAGCAGTTTTTCTTTTCAGAACCTATCTAATCCTTTATTTATTTCCAATAGATTGGCTTTATCGAACATCCTTAATCAATATTCACATATTAAGACACTGTTTACATAGAGTATTTATACCTTTTCTCAACCAACCAGCTTTCAGCTATAAATTGTATTTTAGAATATTTACATTAGAATCGAGAAGCGCATGAAAGGCTTCTTTTCTTGTAAGGATTAAAAAATTAATTTGAAATCAGGTTTCGTACTTTCTATTTATTAATCAAACTTGGGTGTCTACGCTCAGTCTAGAAATAGGTAAGTATTACAACAATACTTGGCGAAATAATTGAAGATATAGTACATATTAAAATTGACTCTAACTTCCAAAAATCTCAGTTAAATTATATATCATTCAGAACATTAATTTATCAGCATGATTTATTTATATTGAGAAAGTTTAGTATGTTTTGAATAAATAATTGAAAAAAACTATTATATCAGAATTAATATGTTAATAGAAATAAGTATAATTTAATTGTATTTTTTAAATTCTATATAGCTTCTTCAATTTTTAATCATATATCTTCAGATTTCAAGATTTTGATTAAAATTGGATTAGTTTTTATATAAAAAAAGCTTTATTTTTTTATTTTTCTCGAATCTTAGGGCTCGTTTGATTGCAAAATCCGCGCTGAATCCGCTGAAATAATCCGTTCTTTGTGCCACCACGGATTTCACAATAATAATAATCCGCTTTAAAAAGAGCGGATTATTGATTTATAGTTTATAATTTATATATCAAATCCGCTATAAAATCTATTGAAAAAAAAAAAAAAATATATATATAATATATATATAAATTAGATGGAATAATTCGAATTTTCAATATACTACTATTATTTGAATAACTAAATAAATGAATATGGGGATAACTTTATTTAAATTTATATATAATTATAAACTCTAATTTAATATAAGCCTATAGCTTTAGACTTTATCCACTATAACTTCAGATTTTATTTATTAAAGCTTTAGATTTTAAAATCTATAAAGACCTATAAAAAAAATGGATTATTTTAATGGATTCAATAAAATCTATTTTTTCTAATCCTTGTTTTCAATTCGCGTTTTTATTTTCCTATATAAATTTATTGAAAAACATAGATTATTTAGTATTATTTTAGATTGATTTACTTTTTCCCTACTTCAAAATATATTAAATTCATTGAAATATAGATTATTCAATGGAATCCGCGATTTGATATCCAAATATAAATTCAAAATCCGCTTTCAAAAAGTACGGAATATTCAGCGGATTTAGCGCGGATTTGTACATCCAAACTAGCCCTTAATACTTGAAATCTCTAAAAATAAGCGAATTCACTCTTTCAAAAGTAATAAACTCTTTAATTCTTTATAAAAATCTAGAAGAAGGATATCATTTAAAGAGTATTATTTTAAGTAATTATATATCACGTTTTAAATATCAAAGGTTTATTAAATAATCGGATTATTAATAAGCAAAAAATTAATAAGAAATGAGTACTTCTTTATTCAATTCAATAACTTTGGTAGTTTTTATGTTATTCTATTTGATTTCAATTCTTTTCAAATTCTAATATAATATGAATATTATAATAATCTATCTTGTAGTTCTATTACAGTCTATTTGATTGATATTCATGAAATTTATAGTCAATTTTAATATGTACTATGCATCTTCGATTATTTCGCCGACTAGTATCGTGCATACATAACAATGCAGACGTGTTTTAATATTGAGTTCTACTGGTCGAGTGAATTAACTCTAATCAATACTATCTATGCATTTGAACCCCCGAGCTAGCTGGTGACAATGTCGAATATAAGGTCTATAATAGACTATGTTCAGATCCCTTGAGGAACGAAACGGTCCAAATGGAGTTGCCATTGCATACTGTCATTATCACAAGTGATCTGATGTGCCTTTCAGCTTGTTGTCTTTGATTTAGTTCTGTGGTGTCACGGAGGGTAGTGGTCTTATCCATCATTCATCTATAGCAGCAAACATCCTCGGTGTTGCTGTATTCGGTGGATCACACTGTCTAGTATATCAAAAAGGAATCGATTGATTATATTTTCCTTGACTTTCCTTCCTCTTCTCCCTTGTAAAAACAAAATGTATATTTGAATAAGATATTCAATATGAACCTCTATAGAAATTCATATTTTATACATTAGAATATTAAATTTTATCTATTACTAACGATATATTCATTCTATTAACAACAAACAAAATCTATAATTTTTGCAATCTATTTATTATCGAAAATTTTTGAGAACACAAGAGCTCTAAAAGACCTTGTGGATTTCAAGATTTTGAAATATTAAAGTTGTAAAAAAGATAAACAAAAAGACATATACATAGGGATTAAAGAAAATAAATAAAAGTTAAAAAAGAGAAAAGAAACAAGTATATAAGTTAAAAGATAAACGAAAAGCATTAGCCAAAAATTCAAAAGGAAAGAGACTTCTATTTCTTGATATTTACTTTCATTGTAAACTAAAATTTGAAATTAAATTTCAAAATTCAAGAAATTTATTAAGATATTATTGATTAGAATAAACCTTATAAATATAAAGATTTAGATTAATTATATTAATATTTGGAAAATCAATTTTTCAATACAAAATTTAAACATTGAAAATTTTATTGGTTATGGATTCTGTTATTACGGGGCTCTCAAAATTCTTATAACCTCATAGTTTATCTTCTCAAGCTTACTCCAGCCCATTGGAGTAGCATTTAGTTAACATAGTATGCCAACTTAACAAGCACACACGAGAGTAGTAAATCTGGTAGTAGCTCTTGTTCTGAAAAGGCTCACTCGGGACACGATGATTCTCCACACATCTGCCACAGTTTCGACCACCAATGTTGATGTGGTTTTCTAATACCAACCTCAGGTGCTGGGGCTTATAGAACCCGTTGAAGCTATGCCGGACTTGCTGACATTGCCCAGTAGTGAAGGGCATGCTCCTCAGCAGACATATCTTACAAGTGATCACAGCTATCTGTCCCTATCAAATCCAGAGATCTTTTCAGAAAGTTGAGTTGTTTACTGTTTTCTTAAACACCCATCTTTATATGTCACGGTTAGGGCACCCGATGTAAAATTATGACCATCAAGAGAAATGCTTGATCCTTGAGTACGAGCAAGCCTTACCCCAATTAATTGATATCTCCATCCTTTAGCCAACCGCTAGTAATTTCCGAGTCGACGTTTAATGCATCTTCAGGAGCAATGGTGGAAACAGGCATCGATCCACTTACATGGTTTAAGGGAGATATCTCTCCTACACCTCATGTAAAGGCGAGCTCGTTCATGTTAGCAGCAACGTTGACTTTCTTGAACTCTACTAGATACTATCCAAGATAGCAAATCACATCACCTACACAAGGTTTATGTTCATACAGTTTTGCAACGCTTAATCTCTTAAGATAGACCGGGTGATCCTTCTGTCTATAGTGGCAGACTTTTCTCGAAATTCGACAGGTGAATCAGAGATACAACAATAAGTAAAACATTTTGAATTTTAATTCCAGAATGCTCCAGACTATAAGCCAACTTCTCTGTCGTAACTGAGGAACTTCCTGTCCCCTACAGATAGATTTCCAAAGTTGACTGGAAATTTTTTACCTGTCGTTTGAAGTACAAGTCTTGATCACAATTTGTAGATACAACTAGCGAGCAAACAGGTCTTTTGAAGTTACATATTCACAAAAGTTGGTGATATTCATCGTCTATTTGATCGCTCGGTGGCTAAGTACTGGGACTTGATTTAAAGCCGGAAAGGAGTTTTTGCACTTCTAAGTATCTATTCAATTTGACGGAATCCGCTTCAGCTAATTCTTCGCTGTTGTGCGATACTCTCATCTATAAAGGAGTGGTTTTGATTGTGCGGCATGCCAGTGATATCTCACGGTCAAAGCTACGAATAACAAAATACCCAGGGCGCAACAGGTCAGTAGTCTGATCATCGACAATCAATGCCAATCTTCGGCGAGTTTTATCTTGCAGGAGTCGGTCGATACTTTTCTACTTCGTTAGTAGCCTTTCTTTCTGAATGGCGTGCTTGCAGTTCTTCATCAGCCCCAGCAAAAAGAATGGACGCCCGCCCTGATCCTGTCTCATCATTCATCCGAAGATTCTCTAATTTGAAATATTTCTGTCGCTCCTTGGAACAACGTTTGACCCTGGATATGTTCATTAATGAGAACTCTGGTCACTCTTCAATCGTTGTGTAGAAACTACATTTCCGACACCCATAATCTTCATGGTGGGTATCCATCATCTATCGAAGTCAAGGGCTTGTCAATGATCACTTAACGTACTATTCGGGCTGACTGATAATGGAGAACTTGTGGATTTGATTATAATAATTCTTCGATGTTATACGATCAATCCACTACACGGGAGTGGGCACAGGATCTGAGAAGTCAGATGTTCTGACATGATCGATGTGACCTGCATTGCAGCAATTTCTCATCTGTTGCCAATTTTGATGTTTCGTCGCACAATGCTCTTCTCGGGAGAATTTGTCGGTATTATGCGAGTACAAGTGAATTTTGAGAAAGACGATTAAGTTCAGCACCCGGACAAGTACTTTTGCCAGCGTTTGACACATCCTACAGGACGTGTAAGTTCGATGCTAGAATTGGCGTCCGTCAAGTCCAATAATAGTATCGCAATACGCAATTGAAATTCCTTTTGCTGAATTTAACTCTGCCTCCAGTGCCTAACTAATATAGTCTCAAGTATTACACATAGCTTTTCTAATTTGCAGAGGATATTGAACTAACCATAAATAGAGCCTCATCAACCTTGGCGCGCTACTCTTCAGTACAGTCAATCCATCGTTCGGGCCTCCATGCATTGAAAGCGTCGCCAAATATTCCAGTATCTGTATGAACAATCCAGGCGTTGGCACCTACTATCGTAGCGGCCTGTATGTATGTCCCGCATATTGCAGTCCCTTTTCTAGAATGGACCCTTGAAGGTGCAAGCCAACCGCGGCGTGAATTCTTTGTGCCCCCATCACGCAAGCATCGAGCCAGTGTAGGCCTTGAGTCTCTTTCCACGTCGGAGGCTTTGAAGGGAGACATGCTCTATGGTCGCTGCGATTTTTGATTTAAAGATTTGCAAAATGAGAGTATTTTAGAGCAAGTATTAAGAAAAGGGACGAAGAATTGCGGCCGTGGTGTCACTGTCTGCAGTGACTTGTCTAGAAATCCACGAAAAACGTGCAAATGGAGGGGTTCCTGTGTTTTGGGGTTGACTTGCGAGAAATTTTGACAGGAGATCTCGACTTTCAACCGCACTCGTGCTTTGTTCCTTTCTATTTCTTCTTTTCTATGTCCGAGCCATGGAAAACTTTGCAAATGTGGACACCGGCCTCGGGCGGAGTTTGAATAGGAGCGGATTGATACGAAGGAGGATAGATATCTATCCACGACATCCGCCCAACAAGAGAGACTCTCTCAAAGCGTGACAAAGGTTCTCCCATTATATCGTCGACACTCTTTTCCTGCTCAACAGATCCATAAGGCCGACAGAAGGCTAATTCCACCAAAGTGTCAAAAACAAAAACTGACGCCAAAGGATAAGTCACATTACTGCGAATGATTACGTCGGAGAAGGTGTCATTGAAGTTGTATATGCGAGATATCTTTGCCGGACTGGTAACAGACAAAACACCTGGATTAAATCGTGCTAAATCTCCGTACTTTTATGTGAGGCGACATGTCTCTCGTGCCCATTTATAGTCCAAACTCAGTGCATGCGGGGGACGCTGAAGAAGGAAGCAGGAAGGGGACCAGGAATTTGATATAGTCTATCATTGGTTCTTGATGCAACAGTAGAACTACGTCTAATATGCTTTGGCCTATGAGAGATATTGTAAAAATTGTTCCTACACTGAAGAATAGCCAGAATCATTAATTCCCCAGACAAACTGTGCACCGATTCCAATACAATTCTAATTCTGAACTGCAATCATATGAGCTTTATTTTTCGTTGTCCGTAGGATTTTGGTTTGGCTGCTAGTGCATGGGCTGTTTCTATGAAGCAATACAATGGGTCGTAATATTGAACTCGCGAGAATATTCAGATCTGTTCTCGTCGCCGAAGATGCAAGATTCTGTCCGTGTCCTCAAGTGATTACAATATTCAGACGGCCCACATTCTCCCGCATTGCTGAGATATCCGAAGCACGACTTATTCAAACCGCACCCTATGCATACTGTGGAATGTGCTGATGTGCATTTGTGGACCACAACAAGTCAAAGTCGGACGTTTGGCAGAATTTGCATTCATGCCCTTCCAGAGAGCATACCGTAGCCCTCATCGATGAATGCAGACTGACGGTCGTATATATGTTGAGGTTCTTCAATGCTGAATTACGCGAAGTTGAGAGTTAGTAAGCGCTATATATTCATGAAAGCAGATCCCAGCTTATCCTTTTGACAGCATCAAGCGGAGGAGCCAAGAGTCCTCTTTGACGTTTATTTTGGCGGGGTTATGTTTTTTTAAATAGTAGCTAGGGCGGAAGGGTAGCTAGTAGGTATTCGAGGTAGTTAAGCAATCTATTATTGTTGCTAGCGATGGTTAGGTAGGTACCGGCAGTCAACATAAGATTACCTGTACTAAGGAGGTAGTCAATACACTAATAGGCGTACTAATTTCTAAAGATACGCTCAATGAGGTGATGGGGATCAAAGACCACTCGAGCAATAAGCGTGGTAATATAAATATATATATGTATATATAAATACATATATAAACAAACATTTACCTACTCGAGTATCCTACATTGAACAATTAGAAATCTCGAACAACAGAAGCCAAAGCTAGAGTTCCTCGACCTTTATCTACTTACCTGGGTATCTCGATCAGAAGAGCGTCAAATTCCTATAATATCAACAAGTATTGAGGATATATGTGCGAAAATATACACAATAAGTTTATCATTATTATTATTATTATTATTATTATTATTATTATTATTATTATTATTATTATTATTATTATTATTATTATTATTATTATTATTATTATTATTATTATTATTATTATTATTATTATTATTATTATTATTAAATGTGAATTAAATCAATGAATATCTATCTTCTTAATCCTGATTGATTATCTGTACCATTATTATTATTATTGTTATTGTGGTTGCACGGAATCCCGTCGCATTTGGTCCCGGTTACTCGTAACAGCAACCACATGGGTATGGGTATTTCGTAGATTCCCGAGTACTGCCTTTACATACCTACCTAAGAACTTTAAATCCCTCCAACAACAGAATTGACAACAGGGTCATTACAATACAAGTGAAAATACCGCATGGTACCTGGATATAACAGCCACACATAGCCATTTGATTGCAACCCGCATCTTTCATCTACAAAATGTCGTTTGGAGGGGACATCGGACTCGACACAACATCGTCGTCCAATGCTGCTGGCAATGGCGGCAACCAGGGCGAGACAATCGGGAGACCTGCCACTCCGCAAGACGCAACCGCAAAAGCAGTTCACGATGTTACAAGCTCGGAGGTGAGTGACTGTCTAAGGTTCTTCCCTTTGCTAAAGGAAAGCTAAACGTGTCCATGGCGTCAGATTGGAATATCAACCTTATTAACTCGACTGAAACAAAGTATTGCTTCCGCAAAGGTATTTCCTCAATTCTCAATGCCTGCTTGGATATAAAGTTGACTCTGCGGAATAGGAATTCGCACTTTTTCTCAAGAAAAGGTCCATTATGGAAGAGGAACATTCGAACGGGTTAAAAAAGCTGTGTAAGGCAACTGGAGATAATATTCGCAGACCAGAGCATCGACACGGATCGTTTCTACAGTCATACGAAGAGGTCCTGATTATACACGAGCGAATGGCCGAGAATGGGGCTCAATTTGGCGTGTCTCTACATCAGATGCATGATGATCTTATTGAAATGGCTTCGAATATAGAGAAGGGCAGAAAGCATTGGAAGAATACTGGGTTGGCAGCAGAACAACGTGCTGCCGATACCGAAGCTGCCATGAAGAAGTCCAAGGCGAAGTACGACTCTCTGGCAGACGAGTACGACAGAGCCCGCACTGGAGACAGGCAATCGGGAAAGATATTTGGCCTAAAAGGCCCCAAATCGGCAGCGCAACATGAGGAAGACCTTCTCCGTAAAGTCCAGGCTGCCGATGCAGATTATGCGTCCAAGGTACAGGCTGCGCAAAGTCAACGAACTGAGCTCTGGTCGAAATCAAGACCTGAGGCTGTGAAAGCTCTAGAAGATCTCATTCAGGAATGCGACTCTGCATTGACATTGCAGATGCAGAAATTTGGTAAGGCACGAGAGCTCAGCTATACTGCACATAATACTAATTGTGTTGAATAGCGTCCTTTAACGAGAAGCTACTTCTAAGCAATGGCCTGAACATAAGTCCCATCAAAGGAAAAGAGCAAGGCACATCAAATCGCAGTCTCCGTGAAGTTGTTCATGCAATTGATAATGTTAAAGACCTGAGCAACTACATCAGTAGCTTCGCTGGTAACATGCAATCCCGGATAACGGAAATCAAATATGAGCGTAATCCGGTTAGCTCTGAAGATTCCTAATTTTATTGATATAGGCCTGGCTAATGTTAATACAGGTTTTGCAACCTGCACCGAATATCGCTCAGCGACAATCAGACCCCAACGCTCTTCAAGCTCGTCAAGGACCCGTAATATCACCACAGCCATCTCACCAGGTTCATATGAGCCAACCTTTCAATCAAAGCAGTCCCCCAACTCACCAGCGCGAAAGAAGCTTCAGTCATGGCCCATCCCTTTCGCAACACATCGTTGCACCTGTTACATCACCCACTAACCTAATGTCTACCTCTCCCGAGTTCACTACCTGGTCACCTCGTGCAGATGGACCCCCCCAGATATCAACCTTGCCATTCCAGCCACAACCTCAAAGTGAGACAATAGTACAACAAACACCGCAAAATCCTACAACGCATGTACCGGTGTCCCATGGCCCATCCTCGGCACCACTATTCGGACCAGGATCGGCTCAAACTCCAGGCAACAACATTCATCTAGCACCATTGAAACCAGTGTTTGGTCTCAGCCTCGAGGAGCTCTTTGAGAGAGATGGCTCTGCTGTTCCAATGATTGTCTACCAGTGTATCCAAGCAGTTGACCTCTTTGGACTCGAGGTTGAAGGGATATACCGGTTATCTGGCACCGCGTCTCATATAATGAAGATCAAAGCAATGTTCGATAACGGCAAGTTGGGCAATTCGATTGGTTGTTTGAGGCAATTTTGCTAACAATCCGCAGACGCATCTAAGGTGGACTTCCGTAACCCGGAAAGCTTCTTTCACGATGTAAATAGTGTGGCTGGTCTTCTAAAGCAGTTTTTTCGCGAACTCCCAGACCCTTTATTGACTATTGAGCAATACCCTGCATTTATTGAGGCCGCAAGTAAGTCATCTCTTGAATCTACCCATTTGACTGTTTCCCTACTGATATAAGCACAGAGCATGATGATGAAATAGTCCGTCGCGACTCTCTACATGCCATAATCAATGGCCTTCCTGATCCTAATTACGCTACCCTTCGAGCCTTAACTTTACATTTGAATAGAGTACAGGAGAGTTCGGCATCTAACAGGATGACTGCAAGCAACTTGGCCATAGTCTTTGGCCCTACACTCATGGGCGCCAATTCGGGACCGAACATGCAAGATGCTGGGTGGCAGGTTCGTGTCGTTGACACAATTTTGAAAAACACTTATCAGATATTTGACGACGACTGAGGCGTAGAAGACGATGGCCGATTGATTTAAGGAGTCCTTAACGAGATACCATAGCCCCTCACATTTTGAGCCTGCCTTTGGAACAGGAACAAGGCCAGGGAACCTTTAGTATCAAGTCTCTATGTACCCACAAGACATTATAAAGTACATGCCACTGTATTTTAAATGCTATTATTGTATGGCACGGGCCCATTAACGAGTATTTACGGCCTATCAAGCGAGTTTACGTCCGGGGGTGGTCTGCATCACGATCATTTTCGTATGGTCATGTGCTCAGCTCTGACGCCAATATCAGTACAATGGTTGAATCAAAGGGTATTAAGGTTTCTATGCTCGCTGATTTTGGATTATAGAAATATCATGCAGGGCGTGATCGTTCAGGTCACCGAAGACATATCTTGAAAACAATGAAGGGCAATTCTAATTGAATACATTATTGATATAAAATAAGCTCCTCATGTGTCTACCATGAGGTATAATCGAGGGTGATTTGTGATAAAATTATAAACAGAGCTGACGCTCAGTTGACTCCTTTCCTACTCGCAAACAGTGTCAAACTGAGACTCGTGTCATTCTCTCCCATGTTAGCACTTGGTTCTCCTAGCATCTCCCAGCGTTTCATTGTGAAAGGAAATGACTGGCGGCACGATTCCTTTGTGTGATCTGTGTTTGTGTTACTGCTATTCCTTCCAGCAATTGTAGCTTTTGAGCCGGATTGATAAATGTGCAGCCAGTCAGATGGCGGCGCCATGATACTGTAAATATAGCTAGTGATGGGGTTCGAGGTAGTATCCCGGAAGTTTCGACTGCATTGCTGACGAATGTCGTCAGGGAGGACATCCACCATATTTAGAATAAGGTCAAAACACTGCTGTAGTGGTAGATGTTGGGTTTTTGTGTTAGCTCTGAAACGATATAGATCCAAAAAGATTGCTGTCAAAAATAGAATTGCTCTTCCCCGATGTTCATGTCCGACTTTCGATGGCTCTAGTGCTACTGTTTGAGAGGTTGCGAAAGATAATAGTAATGGTAGCCACTTCGTAAGGTATATAATCTTGCAACCGTTTGGCTGTGCGCTGGCAAAACATTGCGAGGCGTTGCTCAGTAAAGTCACAATTTCCGGAAAGCAACTTTGCGAATTATGTGAGGTGTTAACTTTCTCGGTATATATCTTGTCTATTGTCAAATCGAGTATAGCCATCAAATTTTCTGCTTTTGACAATTGGTGCTCTTCTTCTAAGATATCATAATAGCCCGATGCTTTGGCAGCATGAAAGAGCCGAAGCAATTGGTTTTCAGCACCTCGTCGTAAATGATTCACGGCGGTCAGATCTAATGATGGTACAATGCACGCCCATGTCGTACCTCCCGTCATTATAGCAGACTCAACGGCACGATCAAGGTCGTCGAGCTGAGGAGGGACCATGTTCCGTGGAGTAGCTTGGGAAACCTTTCCCGAGCGAAAGGTGGAGGCTACCTTGAGTTGGCAAAATGGAAGATTAAGATAATTCGCAGATTTCAGTGCATCGCCCACTGAAATATTTGGAGCCTCTATTTGATACGTAGGCACAAGAAGCTTGTTGATCGAGGCACCCAATAATTTTGAAGCTTCTTGGCTGGCAGTTCCTGACGACAAAGGGTGCACTATGATTTTGCCGATCATATCACCACCAACCAAGACTAGTGTCTGAAGTAAGTCATGCATGGCCGAGCTACCTAAGATATTCAAAGTATGAAAGTGCATGTCGTGGACAGCTGCTGAGCACGCCTCGATTGCTGATCGAATAACAGTTAATGTTAGTTCAGGGTTGTCAATTGGCATACGACTTTGCACAATCCGGAAGCGATATGCTTCGTCTGATGTCAAGATCTCCGGCAGGCCGAGTGGGGTCGCAATTAGAGCCAGTAGTTCCATAGATACTATCGTGCTCACACTCTGTGGTGAGTTGAGATCGTCCTTTTCACACTTCAAGCTGGCATTAACCAGATCTTTCATGGAAAGGCAACCCAATCCTATCATTGGGCCCCAAATTTTCACCATGCTGGGTCGATGTTCCGAATTCTGAATATAGGACAGCCAGCTAGCCATCAATAAATCAAATGACTGAGGATTAAAATCTCGCAAGGTTGTCAACAATGATACACACTTTCGCTGCTGCTCTGGTGACTTATCCATTGAGATCGATAAATGATGAGTTACTCTTTGGAAAAGCCGGTCCATGGTTCCTCGATCGATGCTTGTACCATTAGCAAGAAGCTTCTCGATTTCGTCTACGAACTCGGCCTCGTTGTTTTGTGATCCACCTGCCATATGATCTGATACCGGTGAACAAGCGTCGGCGACACATTTTCTGTCACTCAGAGCAAGTTGGCGAGCGAGTTGCGCGGTAAGTAGTTGGTGCTCGGGCATCCTGAATGAAAGGTCTAACAAAGACCCGAGAATAGCTCGTGGCATAATGTCGCGATCATCTGCAAACGAGCGTGCACGATTAATAAGGACATCAAACAGGTCCTTAATTGCTCCGATCCCAGCAAATATTTCGGCGTGCATGTTAAGTGTGTCGGCGCACGAAGAGATAGTTTGAGGATCAGCTGAGGCTGTGGCAATCTTTATCACTTTGGCGAGCATAGTGAAATCATCTACAAATTCCAGGAAGTCTCGCACCATGCCAAACGCAGCCGCCGTGAGTCCACAAGTATCATGAGCTGCGGCTGATGGATTTCCCCATTGATGAAATGGTTTGCTTGACGGTAGCATCTGTAGTTCAACTTCGCGAAGAAGCCAAGACCCAATGTGGGATTTGCTTGAGCGATTGAGCGATTGGATATCATCTAAGCCCTTGAATTCCTGGTTTATTTGAGGAAATCGCCGTTCTGAAGTTCTTGGCATCATTCGAAAGGCGTCACCTATATTAGAAATGCTAGCCGCTACTTTGCGATCCTCTGTGTCTATTGGATACTCGGCACGATAAAGTAAAGACCTGCGCAACCCAACCATTTCTTCGCTCAAGTTTTGGATTGGAAGTTCTGCAAGAAGCCTCGTTCCACATGGACCGCCTGGTGCCAGGTCGGAATGATCGTGTACACCACCACGGCTGATCAGCCACTGAAAATATGTCGGGATACAAAAGTCGTTCGATCTTGCTAGCTCGGAAACGAGGTGATAAAACGAAGCCTTATTACGCCCAATCTCGCAAGCGCTGGAGTCAAGGAACGATAGTGTGGCCGCTGTGGTATCTGCGCCCAGTCTTCTCCAAGCTCGTAGAATGCGAGCACCAATGAATACTTTCGCATGTCCAGGCCTATAACATGATGTCGACCAATCCAAAATTGCATGAACAAGAGCCGTCTTGTCATCATCAAGTTGCCAGCAGATATCTATGATCTCGGGTGTGAACAGAGTAAAAAGTGACTTGTCTAGTATATTGAAAAGGCGTTGTTGAGGAGGATGCTGGGCTTGAGGAGCTAAAGTAGTGAGTCGCATATTGCGGCGATTAATCTCATTCCAAACAGACATAGGAAGTTCATCTGAGTAGCTGAGGTAAGCGTGTAGGACTTCCCTATGCTTGGACCAAATTTCAGGAGAAACAAAGTTGTCCGGATTCGAAGTCATCAATTTAGTTAGAAGTATGCGCAAACGACCAATCAAGGGTCCCAGTATATCAGCATCTGGATGTTTAATTGTCTTGGGAGAAATACTGTTAGCTGTGTGAGGGGAGATTGAATGATGATGCCATACCTCCGAAAACCGAGTCAACAAAACAGTTGTGAATCGTCGCCCGAACCTCCGATACTTCAAAATATCTTCCCAATACATTTGGGCAATCAATAGCCACATTGGCAATTTGGCTTGAGAAGTCGTCTCTAGAGAAGACAATATCCAATCTATGTAATGCTCGCGATCCAGAAGGCATTCGGCATGAAAATGAGCTGCCAAACGAATCCTATCATGCTTGTAAGTGAATGCGCAAGGTCAGAAGAGAGCAATACTTACGCATAATAGATCTTGCGACGAAAGTCCTTTTCTCCGCACGACCCAATAATATTTTCCAACACTTGTTCAACAGAAACTGTGAAATCTCGCACCCATTTCGCTTCTCCTCCCATAGCGAAGGCACCACCTGCACCTTTTCTCTTGAATGACCGCAGTTCATTTGCACCAACACATTTGGCCAACCAGACAGCTCGCTCGATGGGAATGTTTTTATTGAGAGCGTGTTCCAGGAGAACTTTACCCCTAATTCCGTGGGGAATCGACCGACTAAGGCGACGGAGTGATATGGTCGGGTTAGCTAGATCTTTGAGCCATATCTCTCTCTTTGTATCTGTAACCGTTACACGTGGCGGAGGCTTGAAAGTTGAGTCGGCTGTGATATTTCCATGGGCTCTTCGCTGAGCTAGAACGCTTGTAAATAACGAGGATAACGTTTGCAGACCACTTTTGTGTTTTAAAGATGGGTATATGGAGGCCTTTGCGGAACCTGTCTCGTTCTGTGACATTTGCGACTTGTCGAAGAAGCCCTGGCGGATGACCGGTTCGGAGAATTGATCTTCTGCATGATTACCGTTCCACGGAAAGAAATCTGCATGACCTATTGAGAGGTTAAAAGCGATATCATGGCATTGTGATATTGCCTAATCATGGCTGGACTTACCATTCGGTGAATAAGAAGGCGCGGCTAAAGGAACCTCTAAAACAAAAGGCTTTGGACGAGCATCTCTCTTTCCGGTAGGCCCAATCGATGGGCTCGGCCTGTCAAGAGAAGGGGGAGGATATTTCCCGGGCCTAACAGGAAAAGCAAACGGTTTCGCAGGTGTCTGGCTGTGATTTTGATCGGATGGTAAGATGGATTTTGAAGCTCTCATGCGAAGTACATCGGAATGAAGTTGCGGCCGACCGCGCGGAGGCAAAAACTGCCTATTTGATGTTGAGTTTGAAGGAACCAAGCTTGATGCCTCCGCCTGAACAGAACTCCTCGGTTCATTTGAGATTTCCTGCTTCAAGCGCGACCCTCCTGCTCTCGAGGTTTGCCCATAACGGGCCGATGTAGAATCCGGCACATCAAGCGTCAAGTCTATGAGCGCTTCATTGTGTCTTCGAGTTGGGGAAGTAGATGATAAGCTCCTCTGAGGAGAGGGCCTCGAGGTAGTATTTGGATTCAATGACCTTTGCGACTGTCGTTGGGCTTGTGACCCAACGAGGGGTTTTGTGGTCATGATTGCGCCATTCCGTGGCCGACGACTGCGACTTTATTATAATCAGAATCCAATGATGAACAGACTGCGCAAGTGATATGTGAGATGTGCAAAATGTACAGAGAGATTGTACAACTATGTTTGAGTTATCAGGACCCAAAAGTGATTGAATTGGGTTGAAAATCGCCGCAGGAGATTTAATGATTAGATGATGTGATAGGGTATTGGTACGTCGCACAGGCGCAGTTTCTCTCTTGGTAGAAGCTAAGGCTATTACCGTGTCAAAGCAACGATGGGTGTGAAAGTATCTTGTCGTGTTATATTGTATTATGTTTAATTATATCGTACACTCGAGGATGGCATATGTATTGTATGAATGAAGATATACAGTTGAGATGGATGATCGGAAATAATGTGTTTGGATGAGGCGAGGTGGGTGTGAGCGGAACTTAGAGAGAGGCAGACAGATAGATAGGTAGGTACAGAGACCCAAAAAGTCAAAAAGTGATCGTGTACGGCCCGTGTTCGTAGTTCGTAGTTCGGTACCCCAGGTTGGTCGAGCCAATTCCACCCAGGACAGGTAAGATCTTACCCATGTGCATCCCTAGCTTCTAGCTTCACATGAAATGACAAACTTAGAGCGCAGTCTCTCATACTATCTCGAACTCAAAATCTGTTAGACTTCATTCATCAATTACATTGTGCAAATAGGCATTCAGATATATCATACATTGTTCATCATATCAACCATACATACGATCATCCCGTTCAACAAACATGGCGGCCAGAAAGGACATGCGAAGAGGTGATCTCAGTATGTATTTATTTATTTATTTATTGCCAATTCCTGCGATACATCTGATATATGTAGGCTATCTTGTATTAAAGTACTGACAGTCTCTCACCTCAAGTCATTCCCTATCAAGTTCCAGCTGCAAAGGAATCTCCCAGCGATTTCGGTGGCACGTTAGGTAGCACTCTGCCAATGGCAGCAATGTTCACTCGCAACAAGCTCATCGGATGGTACGTCAATACAATGAATGGGAATTATATCCATCTCTATGTCGAAGATGATGCAGGAGGATATATGCTGATTTATAAAAGGGCTTCGGTTCTTTTCGCTATTCAAAATTGGTTAGGCGAATCTCCAGAGACGAGAAAGACCTCCTCCCAACCGGCATACTTCTCAGTGGGAATGTCACGTAAGATATATTTGCTCTCTCACTTTCACATAAGCAACTCATGCTAATCTACTTGTGCTGCAGTGATGGCCCTCGTTATTGTAAGTTTATTCACAAATTCATCATGGAGGTGACACTTGGCTAATTCGCGCTACCCAGACTTATCTTCCAATGTTTCTCCCTCCACCTCCTACAGCTCCAGTAGCCCAATCGGCATAATGGTCGCAGATTACGAATAAATCACAGAAGCAGCTTGTGTATGGACGATAATTGGTTACATGGATAGAAGCGCTCATGGGGTGGAGCTCCTTTCGAGAACTTATCACATATAGTGCGCACTCGCAGAACGGAGACAAGAATGGGAGCGTTGATGTCTATAATGAATGGGGATCAGACGAGGATAAAATAGCATGAATGGGCTTGAGAGGAAGTCTGGCATTGTAGTCAATGGTGACTTCTTCAAGTAGTAATCAACATATTGGTATTGGAGCAAAAGCTGAAGCATTGGTAGGTAGTAAAGAAGCAAAGTATACTATTTGCTTGTACATATAATCGACATCGACTAATGCCAATCTATTTTCTTTTCCCAAGTGTAGGAGTGTTTGTAAGAGACCCATTACATGAAGCTGCTGTGAAGTTGAATCGTTGTATATTTTGTGCGTTGTATAGGAAGGAGTAAAGGAAAGTGCAAGATCTTACAATGTTCAACGGATACGCAGGTAGGTGGTAGTACAATAGAGACAATACAGAGTCAAATTCTGGAATTCGATGATACTTTTATCTGATGGGGGAATATCTAGATGCATACCTCGATACTCCTTACCATAAAGCTGACATGGTGATACGGTATCAACTATTCACCAAATAATATTTGGTTCTTCGTAGCTTCACGACTATAGGTGCTTATCTCTCTCTATCTACATACCTCTATCTACGTACCTAGTACTATCTTTACAATACGAGTAGCTCGAGGATGTACTTCATCCACTTGAGAAGACAATACCGAGTACGGCGATGCTGACTAATTACAGGACCCCTGATAAAAGTCAAAAGCGGCCGTGATCACTTACCAATTATTTATTATTTTGGACAGAGTCATTGGAGAAAAAGGGTCATTTGGATGACTCTTTTTCACACTCAACTTGCCACTTTAACCGTATCTGTACAACACTTACCCAATTTAATCACTGAGCTTCGCCCCGCCTCTCTTGCCACAAATCACACAACACCCCCCCGTTTAATTTAAACAACAAAACCGACCGCCTTTCCTACATTACAACACTACATAACCCTTCCAAAACTACCAATATCTAAATCACCCCACCTCGAACTCGAACTCGAAATCAAATCCATTTACATCCCTTCACAAAGCCTATATCCTTTCCATCAACTTTATCAAATAGTATCTCAGTCCCACAGATACCAGGCACACTCGAGTTTATGTCCATCGAAAATCTCAAGACGATCGGTATGCGCCCTTCCTCCCCCCCCCCCCCCCCTTTACTCTCAGCTCTGGGGAAGTAGACATCACGAGAAGACTCCCGCGCATTTATCTTCATCCACATACCGACTACAACTGATGATTCCCAAAATCATCTTTAATCGCCCTTGGTGCTTTGACTAACCATTTCTTCTAGACTCCTTCGCTGAAGCCGATGCCGCCGGAGATCCAGGACCAGACCAAGGCTCAGGGGAGACAAAGTCGTCGTTGAACGCGAACGGTTCCTCCCCTATCGCAACATCCAAGCCAGCAAAGTCCGCAAAGGCTGCTCCTGGTGGAACTCAAATTGAGAACTTGAAAGTCTTTGGTGAGGAAATGAATCTATTTCATCGTGGCACATTTTCACTGTCGATTGTCGATGGAATCAATCACATCTCAGCTTGGCTCGTTTGCTCGTTACATGACTTCTTTTGGTATAAGTTCTAACAATGGCGCAAACCTAGATCCTTTCGCCGAAGCCGACGAAGAACCTGGAGACCAAAAGGCCGCAGAATATATCCATATTCGTATCCAACGTATGTCAAGCTCATTTCACACCCCTTGAAACCAGGTCAAAAGGATCAAGGGAAGCTTGCGTATTAATCACTGACAACAATAATTACAGAGCGTAATGGACGTAAGACTTTGACCACCGTTCAAGGACTTCCAAAGAAATTTGACCAGAAGAAGATTCTTAAGGTAATCAAGAAGAAGTTCGGTAAGTCTCATCATACAAGATATACGGTGAGATACCAGGTACTAACGTCGCATTTAACAGCTTGCAATGGCACCATTGTCAACGACGTTATCATGGGTGACGTGATCCAGCTTCAAGGAGACCAGCGCAAAGATGTGCAAGATTTCCTCACTGGTAAAGATGGCTTAGAGCTTGATGCCAAGACCATCAAGGTAAGATAACAACGCACACGACTTGTCATAACCCTTCTAATCAAATTCTACTTTAGGTCCACGGTTTCTAAAATCGTCAGTCACACGTTACGAGCCATCGCAGCTTTGTAAGCTCCCATCACCACAGGTGGTTGCCTGCATGCTCAATACATACTATTGCTGCGAAAGACTCTATAAACATGGCGAAATATTCCCAACCATCCCCCGCACTCAACACAGGAATCGCTGGGCGGTAATAAGGGAGGGCTTTGCACATGAATGTTCCAACTTTGCTATTTTTATTATAGCGGGGTCTTCATTCTCTTTCTTTTCACGCTATTCAGATCAGAATGCTCAGCGCACCTGACTGTAGATTTTATCCGATATGCCTAATTGGCATAGTAAAGATATCAATTCATAAAGGCATATGGGCCCATTACAGTCTCCATTCTTCATTTGAGTTGCTTGCCTGTGAACAGTGACTATTATATCTATTGAATGTCTTATACTATACTATCAAATTCAACCCTATCTTGACATATCCCCAGATCTCTTCCATGTGCAGAATCAAGGGTAGCGGCGGAAGGTCTGTCCTTGAAAGGTACAACTGAGACAATAAACTGACCATGCTAATGAAACTTGCAATTGAAAAGACGGAAATTGATAAGGACGTCTCCTTCCGTATCGCAAGTCGTGGATGAGTCAAGTGGTAGAGAAATGTTAGTGTCTGTATCATGGTCAGAAAACGGGGAAAGGGTATCAAGTGATGGCACGTACACTAGCTATACAAATCCAAGCAGGAAGAAGTAAGCGTGGATCTCCTGAACCCCCTGATAGATATAGGATCCACGATGTGGTGTATGCATTTATCAAGTTGATGGTGAGCAGACGGACAATCGTTGCTAGGTGACAGTCAGTCGAGACTTTCCATTGTGTTTATGAAAGTACCCATACCTTGAGGAGTGTAGTTGAGTAACCTGATATGATACATATTTAGTCATTTGATAGGTTCTAGCTTCGGGTCGTGACTTTAAAGAATGAGCGGTGTTGGAAGATTTTACGTACCATCTAGACATTAAGCAGTCCGTAAAGAAGAAGGCAAGATAAGCGGATGAGAAACACTTTCGAGCGAATTAGCATTTGTTTTACTTCGGCATAAAATATCTTCTGTCACAGGTTGGGAGGTTTTCGAGTTGTCTTGAGAAAATTGTTCATACCCACTGATATCAAAAGTTAGCACTGAAACGACAACGGCACCGTATCTTTCTTTCCGCAAGATAGAAGATATGCTCACCAGAACAGCCAAAAAGACCTCAATAACCCTAAATCTCTTTTCGATAGTCCACTTTGCTTCTACAGCATTCATTTCATCCCACAGCAACTCTCTCATAAAAGTCAACGCACATCGTAACCCCCACCAGATCGCCGGAGCGATACTAAGCAATCGACAAAAAAGGAGCGGGAAATGCCAAACTCTAGCTACGCCAAGAAGTACTGCGACACGAGGATGTAAGACGGAAGTTTTGCCTTCTGGGTCGGCGGGGTGCAGGTTCGGTTTGTAGGGAGGAGTAGATATGGTGGTAGGTGGGATTTCAGAGGGGGACGCAGGAAAAGGGGCTTGGTGCGAACGACGCCGAATAGAAGCCAGAAGGAGGGGTGTTTACGGCATATGCTGCCGCTTTGCAATAGCTGGGAGTGCAAGATGTACTTGGGTGAGGGGTTTCCTACTGGAATATTATGTCAGTGGATGAGACAACTTGCACGCAGCTAGTTTGGGCAAAACAAATCAAGATTTCGTACTCCAAAGACGATTGGGACAAATAGTAGCAATTAGCAGAATAGCCTGAATTGGGTTCAAAATCAATGGTAGTTGGAAGTATAGGTACCCAAGTAGATCCTTCCAAGAAAGTATTACGAGCAAGCAAGGCCATCCAATTTCATGTCTTGTTCAGCCTCGTCGATCTGTCTTCCCAAGACGCACAGCCACATTCAGCCACCAAGGCTATCGGAATATTCTCTTGTTATCAAAAAAGTTACAGCGTTTTGACGGAATGAGGGGTGCAATCTTTACGAGAAACCTCCCACGCAGCTTTCTGCTTTTTGTCTCTCCCCCTTCGAATTGATACGGCTTCGATGGCTCAAGTTCTCCGCAGACATGTCTTCCCTACCCCTCGGAGTCCTTTCTCCCTCTCCAATCCTCGATATTTCTCCATCATAACCCCCCGACAAGCATCTCCCGCCAATCCTGCACAACATCCCGATCGTAGAATGCGCATGCAAGCTATGGGGGGGACGCGAATGGCAACCGACGTTGGCCTTCTACCTAGTACGTCCGTCTCAATTGACTCCTGTATCTCCTGAACGCCCGAGCTAATGAAACCACAGATACCTTTATAGCAGCTAGCAGCCCTTCCCTGTTCAGACACCCCAAAGGACTTTTGAGGTTCCAATGGAAGAGATTCAAGACCCGATTCTGGGACACCGTCGCCACCGTTGCATTTAAATGGATGTCTCCCAAAACCGGGCGTGTACGAAGAAAGGTCCAACTGAAGCGCGGTTCGATAGTCCCCGCAGCCGAAGCTCTGTACAGGGAAATGTACCAAAATTTCGCTGCTGGAGACATCGGACGCTTGCGCAGAATGTGCGCCGATGGACTTTTCGAGAGTTTTGCCCAGCGCATAGCTTCGAGGCCTCGGGGGCAAAAGGTCACATGGAACCTTGTAAAGATGAACCGAAGACCTAAGATAATGTCGACCAAAGCCGTCATGATACCCGGAGGCGATGGCAATGTGATACGACAAGCAGTGGTTAGGGTTTCAAGTAGACAAAAGATGACATTGAAGGATAATAGAGGAAAAGAGCTGCCGGGAAGCAGTGAGAAGGATATCGTAGAGTATGTGGTTGTGCAGAAGATTTATAGAAACTGGCAAGATCCAGAATGGCAGGTCTGGGGTACAACGAGGGGGACTACATTGAAGGATCTAGATGAGTGGGAGAAGATGGCCTAGGAGTGATGGATGGCGATTTGGAGCTGTACAATATGCATCTGTCTCAGTGTAAAATATTGGTGGGGTTAGCTACTTGTATTGTACATAAATCCCCCCTTTCAGAGTTCTCAAAAGCGACTGGAACACCTGAAATCTCACTCGGGGTGAGTGAGTATGACATATCATGGCTCCCCGCTGAGGTCACTTGGAGGGACGTAAAAGTTACCTGGAGCTAAGCGTATCGCTCTTATAAAAGAAGCTGTCACGAGGAACTCGAGTACAATTAGGACAGCAGTTCTCTATAGAAATAAGGCGCAGACAGCTGTGAGTCCGGGACGGATGCGAAATTACTCTAGTAACAGCAGAGATCTATCCAGTGGTTTCTATCTCCCAGGATGAACGCTTCATAATTTTCTCCGCCTCTCTCCCCGATGCACACCCGTCATTCGTCCTCTCACAACATCCACACATCCTCCTTCTCAACACCTACCCACCGTTTTTCCGTTCTCTCGGTCTGAAATCATCGTTTACCACCAAAAACTCCCAATGCCTTTCTGTAGCCTTTCAGCCATTCACCCCCCAGGTATCACGCCCTCTTCGCTAGTGACATGGTTCTTTTCTATTCCGCAGCCCAGATTGTTACATCTTTAATCTAATACTACAACATGCTGTAAGCGACTGTTCTGTTCGGCACTTGGATTTGCTGATGGATTGTCAAACGCTTATGGCCTCGGGGAGTTAATAGCTTTCTGTGTGATCCTGCCTACATTTGCCCTAATTCTCTTTCAATACGTGGCACAGATGAGGAGTACATAGCCTAGTCGTCTGTCCAGAGACCAACTTGCGTAGACTATGCTAGAAGTCACACTACAGTAAGCCGTAATTGTATTGCCTTCATCTGCATGCAAACTCAAGGCATTGTAATGAACATTAACTTACATTCTGTGGCATCGCTTGACTAATATTGCATCATCATGTATTTATCACTGATCACTGTTGCATGCACATCGTCACTACAATTTCGAGCTACGTTCACAATGGTAGTACTTTTATTTCACTCTACCTAAGCTAAGATGTAGCTGATTGATGGTACATTGTTTGTTCAAATCGAAAAGACTCTATCCTATGTCTATCTTGTCCAAAGGAGCAAGAGAATCAATAAGGAGATGGTCACCATATAAATGGCGGACCAGGAGCCACAATGCTCTTTCATGATTGACTAGTAGACAAGAATCCTGCACAACAGTAGATGAAGCCAAATCCCTGCAAAGATGAAGAAATACCGTAAAACTCCGTGAAATAGTAGTCGTAACATCAAGACGCAACCAGGTTGCCACCGGAGGTTACGTCATAAAACCGAGAAAGTAAGAAAAAAACATGCTGCCCAAATATCATGAAGATGAACGAGTACCACCGTGGCAGTAACTGCGAATGATAATTCTGATAGAGGGGTTTTGTTAATAGTGGGAAGATCACTCAACAACCGCGGCATGACCACTTGGTGTGGGAGTTGCTGAACGATCATCATGAGCCTTGTTACCAACATTAACAGGTGAATACGGGTAGTATGCTTGTTGAGACGAAGCCAACTGATCAGCTGGTGGGCTTTGCATACCCCAGTATGGAGCTGGTGCATATTGCTGGTATGGAGCATAACTGCAGTATGGTGACGGAGCAGCGGGGCTGCCAGTCAAGTCAGTTGCCACTGCTGGGTTTCGCATGCCATATCCAGGACTAGCAGGATAGCCTGGGTAGTATGCTGGTGCTGGCGAGTACGATGTAGCACTACTGTAGTAATGGCCTTGACCATCAGTGAAGACAGTTGAGGGAGCAGCATAACCATAGTACGGACTATAAGCAGTGTAGCCATAAGGTGAAGCATAAGCCATTGGAGACATCTGAGCAGATGGGGAGACTTGTTGCTCTACATGTCGATCAACACGAGGAGACTGGAGTGATCGGGTGGAAGACAAAGGCTGCGATCTGGAGGATCTACCTCTGCTACCACCATTCTCAGAGTCCTTTTGAGCAACTCGTAGAGACTTTCCACCGAAAGTAAAACCGTTCTATGGCAATGTTAGCTGAGCTTAAAAAAAAGGTAAAAGACATCTCTTGCTTACCTTTGCATTAACAGAATTGACAACTGCAATTGGCGACTTGAATTCGACAAAAGCGAAGGCAAACTTCTCTTCTGCTAAAAACGCGGCGGGTTAGTTTGTGGATATTCAGCAAAGGAGAGGAAACTTACGTTCAAACTTAGATGCGTTCTCTCGTAGACTGATGTCTTGAATATCACCATAGTGCTCGAAAAGGCCTCGAATTTGTTGCTCTGAAGTACCCAATGGAAGGTTGCCAACGAAAATCGAACGACGATCAACATCATATCTTGCTAAGTATGCCTTGGTAGCATCAACTTCTGCGGCAGGTGGTGACTGCTGAGCAGGTGCTGCAAGACCTGCAATGGGTTGAAGCTTGTAAAGATCATGGTTGCGGAAAGCCTAAGACCACGTTAGCATGAACACCGAGACTGTGATGCATAAAACTTGGACTTACAGATTGAGCATCTTGACCCTCATCGTACATTTCGAACTGAACGATGACGCCTTCGTTGAGGTTGAGTGCAGTACGCTCTACGTGAGAAGCAGTGTAACACAGTTCAATCTTGCCAAAGCGCTGAAGAAGATCTCTGGCTTCACTTGGTGTGACGACTGGGCCATACTTGCGTTCAATGAAAAAGAGACCTGAAAAGCGTTAGTACGAACAACCTTATTGAGAACGACCAACTTACGATGTGCCTTGGCCTTTTCGCAGCGACATGGACGGCCTTTGATCAAACGACCTCTACCTTCCTTGATAGCTCTCTCAGCATGTTCTTGCTTCTAGTGATAGTCAGATACAGAGAGAAGAACCACACCATGATAAAAACTTACAGTGTATTGGCAAAATGCGAAAGGCATATGCTTGTTATCACGACGAATCTTGACGTAGACAGGACCATATTCGCGAAATACTTGAGTGACAGCCATTTGAAGAGAGTCTTCATTCTCGGATTGAAGAAGACTGCGAGGGGTTAGCATCAATCGCCTAGGAAAAGTGCGAAGACAAAGGAAACACCAAAGAAGAGAAGGCAGAAAACTTACTTTGCAACGAAAACACAGCAAGAAGGGGGGTAGACAGCTTGTGCATCCTCAGCCTTGACAACAGTGTATCCACTAAGTCTGTTGCCTGCAGCATCGGTTCCCTCAGAGACGTGCTCTTGGACATGAAAGGAGAGCTTGCGCTTGGTTTCACCGTAGTTGGTGTCAGCAGTACTAGCGTGATTTGGCTTGGACTTTGATGGTGGCAACTCGGAACTGTTGCTTGAGCTTCTTGAGCGCCAAGGACCATGTATATCTCTCTGAGAATGTCTCGGAGCCTTGGGAGTATGCTGATCATGGTTGCGATACTTTGAACCATTCTTGCTTGGTGATTGAAATGGATCCTCAGCATTACTCTGAGAGCCATTGCGAACAAATGGTGGTGAGTAACTGGAAACATTAGTAGATGAAGAATTAAAAGGCATGTGAGTTTGTGGACTTACAGGTTGGAGTTTCTGGAACCACGAGTAGAATGGTGACCGGAAGATCTGACATTGTCTCCAGCATCACTATGATCATCAATGCTAAGATGAGCAACGTTGGTAAGAAGTGCTCCTTTGAGAAATTGTTAGCAAGAGTATGTAAATGAATAAACCAAGACGAGAGAGTTTTGAAGATGATGGAGAACAATATCAGGATGGCAGATATAAATGAAAACAAAGTATACAAACATAGCGTATACATGGTTCATATAATTCGGCAACCTTTTTGAGCAAAGCCATGTTGGATGCACTCGTGATGGTGCGAATTGTGGCATGAAAGCATAAAGGGGAGGATGGCGTCTTGCAAGAGTGAAAAAATGCATGGCGCGACATTAAAGAAACATATTTGATGAATGGGGGAGAGAGTAGAAAAGGAGGCGAAAGGAGAGAAGAAACACGTACCATCATTGTCAGGAGTCAAAGGAATACCAGAATCACTGGCAGCAGAACTACCATATGTACTAGCAGGCGACGGCTCAATCTGAGAAGAAAGTGCAGAATGCGGACCAGAAGTATCGTAACTTGAACCGGAGGTAGGTGAGGTTGAGTGCATACCAAGGGCATAGCCACCACCAGTTGAGGAGGGAGTAGCAGGCGACATGATTAGATGGAGCTTGAGTACTGAGAAGAAGGAAGTGTAGGAATTATGAATTGAAAAGTAAAAGTATGACAAGCGTTGTGCAGATGTAGCTTAACAATTATGCTCTGTTACGGTCAACAGGCCGGATGAAAATTGTACAGAAATCGGCGAAAGGGGAAGGAGAAAAGAGTAAAGGACGGAAGAAGCTTGTCGGAAAGAAGAAGAGATGAAGAGATTGTATGGAAAGAGTCGAGATGAAGGAGGAAACAAGAGAACAGGGGGGGAAACAATGGTATATGTGGAAAAAGTGTGTTGTTTTTGAGAAGAGGAAAGTATCAACAGATTCACATCTGAAGGCTTATTTATATTGGATTTCTAGAAAGTGCGATGGATTACAATTAAGCGGATACAGGTACCTGGATAGATCAATCATGGATATAACGGCCCGAGTTGGGATGGAAGGAAAGAGTGAGAAGGATGAAAAGGGCGAAAAAGGCGAAACGGGAATGACACGGAAATATAGCTCTAAGGGAATCTTTGAAAGGGGAAGGAACGATCAGCCGGGAATAAATATGGGTGAGGAGGGAGTGAGGAGTGAGTGAGCAGTGAGTGAGCAGTGAGCAGTGAGTGTGGAGTGAGTGTGGAGTGAGTGCCTTCCTACCTAGGTGGTACCTATCTACCTACCTACCTAGTATCTACCTAGTACCTACCTCGTGCTTCTATACATCTACCTAGGTAGTAAGCAGGTCTATAAAGAAAGACACAGACACAGACACATATACGCATAGAAACTCAGGCACCCAGAAACCCAGATTTAATCCAAAGTATTCATTCCTATTCATTCCTCCCTACACTGACTTTGACTGATCATTGATCAAATAAATGATTCTTCCTCTTGATCTCACAGTACATTGGTGATACCGGAGCAACTTGAGTCCCTTATGGGTTAGGATGTACCAGTATTTCCTAAGTTTCCTTCCCTTTCAAATGGACTACTAAATAAGACTTGAATGGATACTTCTTAACAGATGACTGATTGGTTCTAAACTGCCATTGATATTGATGTTGATAATGATAGCAATGATGATGTCTTCAAAAAGAAGATTGAGGCCTCTGATGAATACAAGGCATATATCTATCTAGATACGCAACCCCCATGCTCTTTCCTTTCTCATATCGAAGAGCAAATGTCACTTGATATCTTTTGGCATGTGATTGATCTCCCATAGTGACGTTGGGATAACATTCGGAAGCTCTCACAGGATATCTATTTGTAATCCTCTTCCAGCATTATTTCTATTCTCAGTTTCCTCACCTACCTAGGTAGATCGAACAATAATTTAACCAATCCATTTTGAGAAGGAACTCATAATATTTACTTGTAGGTAGCAATTTCATATATACCATGAAACGTTGAGGCTCTTCATCTTCATGAGGAAGTGGTTCCGTCTAAATGCGGGGCTCGATTCCGCGGGGAAAGGTATCAAGATCGAAATCGTGATTGCCATCGGTACCATTGAACTCCTCATGGATGTCCGCCAACAACTCTACGGTTTAGGTTGGATACTACCTACGTACCTAGTAGTACCTGGTATGTATGAAGCCATCAGATCTCTGACTATGAATTTTTAAGATCATGCAATGTCAATTGTGCCCCTCAAAAAGCAACTCAACTCAATTGCATTAGGAAACTTTGCGGCTCTAGATACCGTGGGAATTGCATCTACATTGAAGGGAGAAAATGATAAGAGTTTTGACCTTTGATTTTTGTTTTTCTCTCTTAGTAAAAGAATGATGCCTTGAACATTCTCGAGAGCTGTCTACCTAGCATGATACTGAAGTTGTCATCTACAAAGGACCAAGTGCTTACTTGGTAGATGTTGATTTCTTCATATGCATTTGCCTTTGAGAATACTTGACTACAGTGGACTTCCCACAGTTGTCATTTCCTCTCTCAAGAAATCACAACAGAGTATAGGTAATTCAAGACTTGTATTTAGATCAGCATGATCTTGTTAAGAGAGTCATATTATCTAAGAGCATCTCCGGGGGGTATACCTCATCGCTGTCTATGTATTCATATGTAGTACGTTCATTTAGACTCGTCTTCCTTGAGAGCATCTGCCCATTTTCTGCCGGTCAATTTCTCAAATGCTTCGCGGTACTTTTCAGCTGTTTGCGACTTGATATCCTCTGGCATTGCAACTCCCTGTTTGCCCTTGAGGCCCTCGGCCGTCAACCAATTCCTCAAGAATTGTTTATCATAGCTTTCTTGTTCCTTTCCAACTTCGTATTTGGATGCAGGCCAGAATCTACTCGAGTCGGGCGTTAGAACCTCATCTACGAGAACGACTTCGTCGGTTTCCTCGTCCAATCCAAACTCAAATTTGGTATCCGCAATGATAATGCCTCGTTCTGCAGCATAATCCCGAGCAGTAGTGTATAGCTTGATTGCCAAATCTTCGATGCGCTGCGCATACTTCTCACCTACAATCTTGGCTGCCTCTGAAGGATGGATGTTCTCATCATTTTGGCCAGCTTCGGCCTTGGTAGAAGGTGTATAGATAGCTCCTTGGGGGAAAGCCTGGGAGTTTTGCAAGCCTGCAGGTATTTGAATGCCGTGGACAGTAGATGACTTTTGATACTCTTTCCAGGCGGAACCAGTAATATAACCACGTACGATGGCCTCGATAGGGAAAATTTTGAGCTTACGTACTTGCATAGATCGGTTTCGGAGAAGTGAGTGTTGGGATGAGGAGATAGAGGAGGGGAGCGAGAGAGTCAGGAAGTGAGTTTTGAGATTAGGGATTAGACCTGTGAGAACCTCAAACCAATGCGCGGAAAGTAGAGTGAGAAGCGCGCCCTTGTAGGGGATGCCCTGTATATACTATTAGCTCTGGTCCTTCAGTACAAGACGGAAAGTATACATTTTCCATAATCACGTCATAAGCTGAAATGCGATCTGATGCAACGAACAGGAGCGTCTTCTCATCAATCTCATAAAGATTGCGAACTTTCCCTTCTGCGATCTTTGTGAGACCATCAAGGGTCAACGTGGTAAGAGCTGAATCTGTCATTGTTGGATGATCTTGATTAATATTGTGTATTGTCGAATATTGTTGGATTTGTTATGATGTAGTTATGTTATGTAAAGTTTAATAAGTATTTCTACAATAGTGTTCTGACTCAATTCATATTTATAAATTTTATTGAAATGCCCCTCCTACTCCGAAGTTACTCCGAGTGCTGTAGCAGGACAAACAGCTAGCACGTGCACTCGAAAGCAAGAACCCAAAATAACCATGAGAGATAATCAACGGCGGCCGATCATCGGGAGGGGAGCTTGGGAGCAAATATCAAAGCTTTATTATGCAACCTAGGTAATTGCCATATGTAGGCCATATACATAGCAGTACACTACTCAACTTACCTAGTACTTCAACTGCAAGCATCCAGTATACTACTACTACTACTACTACTACTACTACTACTACTACTGGGCACATAGGCTTCTTCAAGCACAATTAACAATCCTATTCTTTGTTGATCATACATAAACAATATCAAAAACCTTCATCATGAGGGTCACTCCCCCTCTTTCCAAGGGCTTCTTTGGCCGAAGTGTAGATGAGTTCAAACGTTTATCAATAAGTGGTAAATCTTCCAGATAGCTCAATTCTCAAATATAGGCAAACTTACTTAACTTACTTCTTCTAGCACTCACCGCAGAAGGCACAAGAAGAGCTACATCTCCATTGCATCTCGCAAATTTCCACAATCCCGAATCCCTAAAGCGCTGTAAAGTCTTCTCTGATGCTGATATGGGAGGCTTTTCAAAAGTGCATTTCGACTGGGTACCCCCCTCCGAGAACCCAAACCCTAGCTCCTCCGAAAATAAGAATGGGCATGTTAAGTTCCATGGAAATATTTCGATAGACCTACCCCCGAACAGACCCCAAATCCAGCGCAGTGGCTATGCGGCTTGGAGAACTCTCGATCAACCATCGACGATATTTGGGAAATCGCTATGGAACATAGATGCGTATGGATTGCTCGCCCTACGCATAAAAAGTGATGGGAGGAAGTACTTTGTAAACATACAAACGGAATCAATTGTGCCTACGGATATACATCAACACAGACTATATGCGCGAAGCCCAGGAGAGTGGGAAACAGTTTTAATCAAGTGGAATGAGTTTGTACGGACGAACCATGGTGTTGTCGTAGAACCACAAGGTGAAATGTTGAGACAAAAGGTACGGACGGTAGGAATAGGATTAATTGATAGAGTTCCTGGTGATTTCCAGCTTTGTGTGGAAAGGATTTGGGCCACCAATGGATTGAGTGAAGCGGATCTCGAAGAGGATGGCAGAAAGGAAGAGGGTCAATTGAAGAGCAAACATGGCGAGAAAATCAGATGGGGTGAAGATAAACTTGACAAGACTCCTTCATGACCAATTTTATAATCAATTCAATGGATTCATCGAATTCAGATTGATCTGGCTCATTATACCCACCAGAGCTGGAGTTTCTACTCCATCCACGCAATGACGTCCCTACCAAATGTCTTTGCTGTGCGCATGTGTACTACTAGGTTATGAATTAAATCTACTCAGTAATCCAATAAAACTCTCAATGGCCTTCCAAATTATTTATTCACCCACGAATATGATTTTCCATGTAGCAACGAACCGTACAATAATTGTTCTATTTGTAAATAATTTGGAGCATGTACTCTAGCTAGCCCACCCAGCAAGATCTTGCGACAACCGCGTTCGACGCGTCTTCCCTCCTTCCTCAAACCGTAACATTAAAAATATCTTCAAATCCAAGTCTCTGTTCTCTTGATCTTTACTTGATGATATCATAATTTTGTACTTCCAGTGGAATGTAACTATCAAATATTGGCCTTTCAATGTGCAAAGTAACCGTCGGATTATCTTGACCATGACACGCTATTTGACACCCTCCAAAATCGGTTTGCTCATACTCATAGAGCTATATACAGATGGTGTCGTTTCAACATCTTCCACAATATCTATACTTTCTTTCGTTCTTGCACAGTTGCTACCATCAAGCTCGGTCAAGCAAGCAGGAAAGGCTTCTACCCCACAATATCCAGTCCTCGATCTCGAGGCCTTCGAGACTTTACTCAAGCAACACAGCGCAGCTTCCGGGCATCCTGGAAGGTCGTTGTGGGATCACTTTCTTGCAAAGCTTTGGAAAGTCGACAGTCTAGATGCCTTACATGAATTTTTCGTGAGGCTGAACAATCTTTTGGCCAAATCCCGGGAAGACATTAAGAAGGATGGTGAAATGGGGATTCCTCCGCCTTCAGGGGATATGATATTATTGTCTCGTATATCGCCGTTCGGTAGCTTCTTACGAAAAGCTAAAATTGAGTTTGAACGATTAAAGTTTGGCGATGTGCTACAGTTATGGACGACTTTCATGAGATGGAGGCAGCCGTCAAAGGCATACTGGGCTAGGAGAGGGCGTGTGGTTGGGATATGGGCTGGTGATAGAGTGCTCACAGAAGGAGAGGAAGATTGGGGGCTTGAGGAGACCGAAACCTTGGCTCACATAGCTTATGGTGGTCTGGAGGAGGAGAACGCCGCTGGGTCGGTCAGTACTGATGATGTGGAAAAGCTTCTCGAATTCCACGTGGAGCAGATGCAAAGTAAGTTTTTGGGATTCATTATCTGAGTATTTCTAATCCTTTTCAGAACTGGGCACAAGAATGCCGATAGAGGTGAAATCTAAGCTCAAGTCCCTCCTGGATGATAGTATAATCACGCCCAGTTTATCTCACTACCTGACGTGAGCACAACACAACCCCAATTTTTAGTATAAGCTAATAGCCTGTTAGCTTTCTAGATGCATGGAGATCTGGTGACTACCCTTCGTCCTTCGATAGCCTTCATCGCTATTTCGACTACACGATGCAAAATCGAGACCGGTTGTTCTACCAATATGCTCTCATGAATCTTGCAGTTCTTCAAGCTGATTTCGAATGTTATGATGAGGCAGTAGCCGCAATGCTGGAGACTGTCTCTACCGCAAGAGAGAACAAGGACATGGCATGTCTGAATTTTGCTCTGAACTGGTTGTATCACTTTGGAAAGGCACATCCAAACATCATTGAAAGCTCTGGCTCAACGAGTATGCTAGGTGTTGAGAAAGAGGGGCTTGCGTTCCTACGGATTAAGGCTAAAGAGAGTGGTATGTGGACGCTCTGGAGCTCCTCACTGCTCAGTGAGGCAAAGTTGACACTGTCGAATGGCGAGAGTGTGGCGAGCGCTTTTGAGGGCATACTTAAGAGTTCTCATCTGGTAACGGAGAAAGGTATGAAGAGTATGATGGGGCCACAAACAGCTATGCAGTCTTCCTTGTGGGGTCGCCTAGGACTGGTTTGTCTGTCCAAGCAGTATAGTGAGATATTTCTCCGATGTCATGCTAAGTACGGCTTGTTTGATGATACATTGAGGTTTACCTGCCGGATAGCACATTATCTAATGGAACGAGGTTCCTATGACCAAGCAGCAGAGCGGCTAGAGGGTTTAGATTCCAACTCTTTGCGTTCATGGAAGGCCAATCAATACTGGCTGAGGTATCGTGGAATTTTACGTCTTAGGAATGATCTATACACCAACAATCTAGAGGGAGCTGATCACATTCTGTCCCAGCTACTTCAATGCGACGGTCTTGAAGCGGACTCGGATCTTTCCTTCGAGATCAGCACTCTTCACATTGACTACCTTGTTCGTCGAGCAGACTTTGGTGCCGCGTTGTCAAAATTGGAGCAACTAGCCTCTTCATTAAAGGAACACGGAGATGATATCAATCTGCGAGTTAAGATACTGACGATGAAAGCTCTTTTACAAAGCAGGATAGGTCGCCCAGAAAAAGGCTTTTCTGTTGCGGTTCGTGCAGCAAGTATAGCATGGCGAGCACGCTTGATGCCTGCTCTTTGGGCCGCAATGGGAGCTGTGGCCAATATTTTGGTCGCACTTTCTGAGTTTCAAGCTGCCTGTCAAATCGTCATCGCCATCATTCCTCGAGCATTGGAATGCGAGAATTGTTCACTTAGCGCGCAGCTCTATTTTTGTCTTGCTGAGTCATTTATGGGATTGGCAGGACAAGCAGCAGCAGGTGATCCAAGAAGAACCGAGAATTTAACAAAATCCTTGGACTTCCTTGATAGAGCTTTCACGGAATTCTCTGCTATTGGGGATATCAATGGGCAATGTGAGTCACGGGCTAAGAAGGCAATGGTTATGATGGCTATGGGAGACAAAACATTGGCAAATGATTATGCTTCATCGTTTTTGGACCTCGAGCAGCAGAGAACTGCGGTGCATATCTAAAGTATGTTTGAGTTCATACATCGCCAAGTCAACCGTGGATAGGTGAGGAGCTTGAGGTAGAAAAATTCATGATGCAAATGGTAATGGGAAGTATTGTTACGATCAAAAAACTAGACTTCATCTAATGAATGCCATTCTATGTTCAACCTCCTGTCTTCCCGAAGACCCCCTCTATTGTCCAGTGAAGTAACAGAGCAAGCACCAATTCCACACTGATCATTAAATCTACTCCTTCTTGTGGTAGTTGACCTTCTCGTTCCAGCTATCATGCAATATTAGTATTGATCTCGTACAGTTTAATCATGCGGTCCACTAGAGCTCGCTTTCTCGGAATAGATTCAGTAAAAACTTACAAAAGTGTCTATGAATATAATTAGTAATAAATCTTGCAAAATTACAAGGGGTGTCAACTTACCTTGTCTCCATCACCCCAGAAGAAGTTCTTAGTTCTCACGTTTTGATATGGGTATTCAGGTCTCTCCTCCAAAGGCTCCATGTGATCCCAATGAGCCCAATGCTCATCCCACAAGATCTTAGCATTGACACTTGCGATGATCAAGCAAGGAACCGTAGCACTACCCCAATAATCAGCCTTAATTTCCTTCCTGCCTTATGATTCCCAACCAGTCTCCCATCCCCCGCACTTGTCCATATGGTGTATAGCTTACTAGATTGACAACTTCCTCCAGAGATCTGCGGGGTTTGTTAGTATTGCCGCCTTTGAATTCAGCAAAGTTTTATGAGGCAGTGTTTACGTACCACTGGTAGCGGCAGCATGGTCCTTGACAGCCTGACGCTCACGGTTGAAAGCGTTGTTCTCGGCGCCGGTGAAAGTGCTCTCGCTGCTGGCAAAGCGTCTTTGGAATGGGGTTCGGATAGATTGAGGGCGGGCGACGCGCTGGGCGGCTACTCGGGTTGCTCGTGCAGAGAACATGTTTGTTGTTTGGTGGTTGCGATTGTGTCTAGGTTGTAGTGTGATTATGCGCCGCGACGCTGTAGAATTATCGTATGTTGCTGCCAATTTGAGCATCTCCACCTTGGAAACGAGAACTTACCGTTGATGCCTAAGGCATATATTTGGTCATCGGGAATCGCCCGATTCGGTAGATAGCTTTGAGTTGCTGTCACGTGGAGACGTGAACCTCATGCAATGCCGGTGAGATTTATTGTTGTGCGAAGTCCTGGTTAAGTCAGGATGAAATCATGTAAATAAACAGTCTTTGTGTCTCTCTTTGCTGTGCGTCGCTCACAGGGAATTATCACATTTGTTTCAATTCTTGGGAGATGCATTTGCGAATTCCGTATCGAGATTCTGTATCTGGACCCTGGAGTCTGCTTCTTCAGCTCCATCATATCGCCACGGAATCAAACGATTAATGCAAACGACAGATAGCAATTATGGATCAGGTCAATGATGGTAATCATGGACTGAGAATTACAACTTGGAATGGTAAGAGCGCATGTAGCAATCACGATTATGCATCACTAACAAAAGCACAGTTAATGGTATCAGGTTGGTGATTGGCAACTTCGAAAAAGAATTGATTTGAAAGCACGTCTGATCATGTGTTGTAAACTGACATTAAGCACTGAGCAGGAATCCTTTTAGTTATCAACCATGGCGAGAGAAGAGAACCTTTTCTGTGAGTAGTCATTAATGACGTCCGTTGTGGAAATGCACTCTAACTTATGTGCAAGGCAATGTTCGATATCCTCGAAACTGATATTCTAGTGATGCAAGAAACCAAGATTCAGCGGAAAGATCTCAGGGATGATATGGTTTTAGTACCAGGCTGGGACGTCTACTTCAGTCTTCCAAAGTACAAGAAAGGTATGCTGATTTTCTTACTTTTTGGATTTGTACTCACATTATGACATAAGGATATTCCGGAGTTGCTATCTATACAAGAAACTCAGTGTGCGCTCCAATACGTGCCGAGGAGGGTATTACCGGAGTTCTAACTCCTCCAAACTCCACAACCAGCTTCCGTGACCTCCCAAAGGATCAGCAGATCGGAGGATATCCCACAGGCGCTCAACTCCAGGACTACTTCCTCGATGCTGCAACTCTGGATTCGGAGGGAAGATGTGTTATCCTAGAATTCCCTGCCTTTATTCTTATTGGTGTATATTGTCCTGCAAACCGTGACGAAGCTCGTGACGAGTTCCGTATTGGCTTCTTGAATGCTCTCGACACGCGAGTACGCAATCTCGTAGCACTAGGAAAGAGCGTTTTCCTGACTGGAGACCTTAACATTATAAGAGAGGAAATCGATACAGCCAATGCAGAGGATAAATTGAAGAAAGAAGGGTTTACAGTGGAAGAATACATATCGACACCTGCCCGCCGACTATTCAATCATTTGCTAATCGGAGGAAAGGTGATTGGGGACAGAGATGAAGGAAAAGAGCCACAAGTCATGTGGGATATATGCCGCGGCTTTCATCCTACACGGAAGGGAATGTTCACCTGCTGGGATCAAAAAAAGAACGCCAGACCTGGAAACTTTGGCTCAAGGATTGATTACGTTCTATGTAGCGAGGATAGGAAAAATTGGTTTCAAGATTCAAACATTCAGGAGGGGCTCATGGGCTCGGACCACTGTCCCGTTTTCGCTACCTTGAAGCCTAGAGTCGAATTAGATGGTGTCGAGATCGATATCCGCGATGTCATGAGTAAGGATATGTTTAAGAATGGGGTGAGAGTGCGGGAGTGGTCGATGAAGGATCTACTGCCAACCTCTGCCAAACTAATTCCAGAATTTGATCGACGCCAGAGTATTCGTGACATGTTCACCAGAAAGCCTACCAGCTCGATGACTGCTGCTCTGCCCTCCAATTGGTCCAATGCTGGAAATGGAGTAGAGTCAGCACAAACAGATGGCCCATTCAGCATATCCAATCACGTCGACCCACTCGGAGCATCCCCTACTAAAATAACTTCTCCGACAAAGTCCTTAATCTCATCATCCTCGCCTACACCAGTCAAGAGGTCCACTGATGCATTGCAACTAGTGTCACAACCATCAAAGCGCAGTAAGGTCGAAGCCAAATCAAACAAAGGGCCTTCTAATGGAAGGGAGAATAAGAGGCAATTGGGAAAAGGCCAAAGTAGTTTGATGGGGTTCTTCAAATCTAAGACGCCGCAGGTAGCACAGACAGCACATCAAGCAGATTCTCCTTCCTTATCTACAAGTGATTCTTCAACAGCAACACCTGCAGAATCGGTGAGTCAAGAGTGTCTTGCTGGCTGCAGTACAGAAAACGACTCGCCCCTCAGGGCTGAGAGAAACACAAATAAAGACGAGGAAATCGAGAAGTCATGTGATTTACGACAGGACAAAGAAGTACACGACCCCATAGTAGCGAAAGAATCTTGGTCCAAGCTATTGACTAAACGCATTCCACCCAAATGCGAACACAACGAGCCATGTATCAGCCATATAACGAAGAAGCAAGGCATCAACCGTGGTAGATCTTTCTATATGTGTCCTCGACCTCTGGGACCATCAGGTCAGCAAGAAAAGAACACAGAGTGGCGCTGTAATACATTTATTTGGAGTAGTGAGTGGACTGGGAAGGAAACTTGAGACTGGAAACTTAAGATTAGAACCAGCGCAGAAGCCAGGAAGTAAGAATGAACAGGTAGCGGGAAGAAGGATATGTTCACCTTACCTGTCATACCAATAGTATAATAACATAATTCCAGAGTATCTATGCACACATATATGCCGATCTACTATGGTATCTACGTTTTATAATTAGTCACAAAAGGGAAACAAGAAGCAGACATTGTATAAGATGACAGCGATACATAACTAAGAACACCCTTTTTACATAAATCTTTGTATATCCTAATGTGAATTCCAACTCATTATTATCTGCCTTCATAAATTTAATGTCTTAGCCTTGTCTAAGAGTGAGTCCTTTAAGCATATGCCCGAGGTTCCCGAGATGAGTCTTCACTCCTTCAAAAAGAAAGGTTCTCGCTTCACAAATTCACTGAGTCCACAATTCACTACCATGCCAGTTTACTTGATACTGATTCACTTTGGAAACAATTCACTTTGATAGCCATTCGCTTGAATAAGAATTCACTTTGATATCAATCATTCACAACTACCAGCCCCCTTAGTTGCAAGAGCTGGGATTAGGGCAAGCGAACAATATTCACCAGCCCCCCCCCTACCCCCAAAAAAATTCACACACAATCGCACAAATTGAATATCCATGGAAAAACAAAGTGAATTGTAATATTAGAATGATGAAGGAGGAAATATTGAGATCTTCGTTACGATGAATGGTGTCATCGAAGGCACATAAGGGGGAAAAAAGCACAATTCCTTGTCACAGCGTAGGAAGCAATCAGAGGGTATCATGAAGTTTAAAAAGTGTTTTCTGTATATATAATATATAGACCATGTAAACTGTATGCGAAATCTAAGTACAGCTTTTAGTTCCAACCATTCACCAAATCCGTGTTTACAATCCATCCAATGAATTGGATTCCATTCCCTACCATTCCATAGGCACATTCTCAGATGAGCAAACTGATATAGCAGTTTGTAGACCTGAGAAACTATAAAAACATGAAGGGAAAAAAAAATATGTACATGTGATGAGTAATGAACGCAGTAATGATAAGACATGAAAGTCCAAATTCCAACTCCTTTCCATAGGTTGTAAAGCCGTGAAGCACAGGTCACGCCATGAAGAGTTGACGAGTTCGTGATTCCAGAGAAGAGAATACTTAGTATTGTTGTTGGGGGGAAAAGAAGGTGAAGAGATCCTGTTGCTGGATCGCTTGCCAAGCTTCTGTTGGTGCGAAGTTCATACCCATTGGTTCGTCACCATATGAAAGTCTGCAGTGCTCAGGCTGAAGCTGCTGCTCTAGCACGCTGGAGTGATCCATGTGAATATTGAGCCCAAACGTGCCCATTGTACCCATACTAGTATCATTAGCAGAGTCGTGATTTAAGAGTGGATAGTTGATGGAGGATACGGTGGTGCTGGTGCTGGAATTGATATTGTGAGATAGCTGGTTAGCGGTTGATTTATTGAGAGTCTTCTTTGATACACGACGCTTCTTCTCACTTGGCTTTCTGGGGGCGTATTTATAAGTTGGGTAAGCCTTCTTGTGAGCTTCTTTCAATAAATCGGCACGGATCTTGTACTTCAGACGCCGCTCCGGAGTTTCTGCAGCCCACATTCCAGCAATAATTGAAGCTGGAAAAATTGTTAGAGGGTTGAAGCAAAGCGCGTAACAAAAAGGAAAACTCACAAATCTCGTTGTTGGTGATACCTGGATAGGCTTTCTTGATGGGTAAATGATTGTCCGCACGATAAAGAATCCACTCATTAGCTGGACGTGGGATCTTTGGCTTGAGACCAGTGGGCATGGACGATGAGGCAAGATGATTTTTTTCTGGAGTAGAACAACGAGTAGCCCCAGTATTTTGTGGAAGAATAGAGCTATTTTCATCCCATGAGCCATTCATCATTCTTCGTTGCTCAATCTGAAGAGGTTCTAGACATAAATTTGCGAAACCTGCAACAGCCAACATTTGTTTATGCTCAAACTCATCTAATGGAGCAAGGAACATTCTGTTGATATAGGCGTCTCTGACGAAAACACCCTTGCGATCAGTGTGTTGCCTGCGATTATTTATTAGATGAGGTCTCAGATATGAAGCAAAGAGGACATACTGATAGAAATGAAGTAGAATTTGACGTTCGGGTGTGCCGATACTCATGTATTCGTAATCTCGCAGCTCACACCATGGGTTAATGTCGAGAGCGTTATACAAATCTAATTCATTGATAAAGTTGCGCATTGCATTATAGATCTCCTTCGTCAACCCAGGAATCATATAAGCTTCCACAGGAGTAGTATCGAGTGCGGGATAAGGCACATTTGCGAGCGGCGTTTCGAGAACAGTACCGTGATGTGGTACCCATTTTCCTAATCGGAGAGAGGAGAGAGACATCTTTGAAATGTAAATGCGACAATGTTTTAGAAAAGTCTCAATGTAATGTTTCAAAAAGAAAAGAGAGAGGTAATGCACTCCGTCTGATAGTGGTTGCGAAGGAGAATTGAGTAGACATGTAGATTCAGAAAATGGTAGTTGTCCGTAAATCAGAGGATGTGGGTGGAAGTATATCTTTTCAGACGAAAAGGAAGTTTAAATAAAAACATTATTGGCAGAATCGTGCGGCTTGAAACAATTCCTAGCGAGCTCCAATTCATATTCTGAAGTGTTCTTTGTTGAAGAGTGAGTGGAATAAAGGTGAGGATAAAGGTGAATAGCTTGGTCTATGAACATGAACACTGCGGAGCCAGAAATGACTAAATCACCATCTCAGCTGCCATAACCTCAGAAATTTGCAACTTCTATAGATCGATACTACAAGTCTTCCTTTAACCTACATAGAAATATCATACACATTCACTCGGATTCATACACATTATCGTTATCGCAAGGCGCAGGAATGCAACTACAAGCAAAAGCTGATGGAGATATGGAGACATCAATCAGACGGCCTAAGGTAAACGCAACGCATGTCCTCAACTGCATGAAAGACTTTTCACAAGAATTCCAGCGGCCAGGTTCCAACACAATAACCCAGCACGCCGTTTCGGAAATGAATCCTATAGTGTATGATGTTGACTACACCGTGGTACATAATCCTTCTCAAGGGACAGAAGATGAAGGGTACATTCGAAAAGATAAAATGACCACGGAGCAACGTCGCTCACAAAGAGAATTATCAAATGTTATCAGACACGGAAATAGCCTCGCCAACAGCTTTATGAAAATTGAAACAGGTCTTCTTGACTTGTGTTTCGACGGACGAGGTTCGGCGTCATTTAGAGAGAAAATTGCTGCAGGTCAAAGGATTGCCTTGCGAATCTACATACAGAAGTCAGTATCGAAACTCTTGTTCCCAAACATTGCTGATAGAAGATTCCAGCGAGATTAAAAGGCGAGCAGCTGATTTGGGACTGGTGAAACTCGGATTCTGCGAAACCTCGCTCATAAGAGATGTGGCGAAGCGCATAGTTGAGCGTCGCAGAACTATGACTCAAGCAGAGGGCAACGTGTTTGCAGATGACATTTTTCAGCGCGAGTTCAAACCCCATGCTGAGGACGAGTCAGGTAAAGGATATATAGAGCCATTCTTGAAGAGGAGTCAAGAGATACGCAATGAGAGTAAGCTCAGCCCATGTTTGCGTGTCAACTTATACTGATTCATTGCAGTCTCAGAATTGATTTGGAATCTACAATTTGATCTTACTTTCGAGAGAACTATGTCAGATCTCTTCCCACTGAACTATGGCTCTCGGGCAAAGGAGACAACGACACCAAAGGGGTTAATAAAGAAAAAGAGTATGAGAAGGATCAAACGGGAAAGGGGATCGCATTGACACCATTGGGTTGAGCTCTAATGATGTGTTGCCATATAAAGAGCTGACCTGAGCAGGCACTAAAGATATAATCCGCAGTGTTTTGTAGTTATACGGACTTCTTCACACCAAATTATCTGAGTTTGCTTGATTTCTAAGCACTTGGAGAGATGCTGATGCTAGAAGAACCTTCTTCAAGTACCTTTCTCTCGTGTGTCCCCACGTTGGTATCCTAACTGTCGATGATTATCTTTCCGACCTCAACTGGACTTTCGAAACCAATGAAGAAGGGACTGTCTGTCTTCGCCAAACTTCACCACCAGAGATCGGTTCATTTCCAGCACACATCGCCAGAACTCTCTTAATCGATTTGGACATTATCACTTTTTGTGGTGCACGAGGCTACTTGCCAGTTGCGACTGCTGCTAGCATTGTTCAAGGTTGGAACCGTGTGCATCCAATGACCAACATGGCTATTCAAGGCAATCTCCCTGTCACACAGCACATTGCTTCCACTCAGAATGCATATGGTGCCTGGGAAATGCCTTCAGGTGTCATCGTTGCTCCACCCCCGAAGCCAGCTTTCGATCAGCCTCTTGCTTACGCTCCACCCGCTCTAATGCCAGGTGCAACAGCATCATTGACTGGCTCACTACCAACACCTCCTCCTTGGTCCACTGGTATGATGGCTGGATATTGGGGCCACGACAATGGTACTATCGACCTCAGTGCACTTGACACTCAGTTCGACCAATTTAACCCTACCTCTCTCGCTGATGCAGGCGGCATCTACATGCCTGACGACGCCCCTTCACCACCACGTGAGTTAATATGATTAGGCCCTTGAATTTATCATACTGACTATTTTAGTCTTTGCAGACTTTTAGTTCTTTTTATATATTCGTTCGAACTTTCGTGGTACCGATGTTAATTATCTCGGCTCTACCATCAACACAGTCCAGCATGGAGCTACCCCAATATTAAGGAGTTGGATCAGTGTTTATACTCGCTGGCGCAGCATGTCTTTAGATGGAATACTCGGTGCATTTTCCCCAGGTTTTTTAGAATTTGGAGCTGTCATTACGCTTCAAGCCTCTTCGTTTTCATTTCGAGCATATAGTTTTTATTCTAAGTATATAGTTTTCAGTGTCTCTCAGTATATCGTTTTCATTTCAATTTGTTTATAAGTTGGAAATGGTATATACTCCATATTACCTGCTTAGCACCAAGCTCACAAATCTTGTATAAATCCAAAAGGGTTAAAGGATTCGGTTGGTCCATTAAAATCGCATTAAATTTGGGGTTTCTTTCTCTATAGGCTTGTTTGAACTTTACAAAGAGTTATCTTTTGTTAGAACTTTGAAAGGACATGGAGATGAAATAGAATAATTCTTCTGATCAAACACATTCTCTCCTTCTCTATGAAACATATGCAATGAGATATATGATGAGTCTTGATAGTTGGTGATGTCAGGCTGGTGTATCTTTCCCTCCCTTTCATTTTTTACCACATCCAAGAATTACATGTCGTAAGAATAAGCATGTGGAGATACAAGCACCAATTACTAAACCAGCGTACCACTAATGCGAGTACGTAACCTTGTGCTTACCTTTTGTAGACATTAGTCTCTTTCAGGGTGTGGGGAGTCGACTTAGTGACGACAAGGATAAAATGCGAGTACGTGATTTGAGATGAACTTACTTGCAATCGCTTGAGTTTTTTTGTTAATGATGGGGGTACATGTTAGGAACCGAGATAGTTAGAGATGATCAATTACATAATGTCACGATAGCATTGATTAGTTACTAACGTCTGATGTCATCCAGATTGACTTCTCAATGTTTGGTAATCTCATAGTGTTGTGGGAATTCTCATCTCAACATGTAGAAGGTCTGTGTGTCAATTCTCATCTAATCCAAGATATTCTAAACATCACTCACTATAGACTTGAGTCTGCAATGCCAATCTTTGAACCCGAGCTCGAACACTCCTCTGCTATTATCCCGAAGCCCTGGCGCCGAATCAGGGGGATTTCAAGCTGAATTGGTGGAGATGGTGTCTAACAAGCAACACACATTATGAGCCAATCAGCTCCTTGCAAACTTACTGCTGGTAGAATGACATCGTCTTGGAAATTAAAAAGATATGTCTTCTGTCATACTTACCGAACTTTACCATTTCAGTATTCTCATCTTAAGGTTTCCTCATTATGTACCAGATACCTAATTGACTGTCGATTAAGTCTTCAGATTTTGATTCCTCTAGAATAGATAATTAGGTGAAAAGGGTTATGTGCAAAACTCAGGATTCATTTCACTTCTGTATCAAAGTGTTCTCACGAATGTCTTTATTCCCTACAAGTGCCATCATCTTTTATGAATGGACTGCTACGAAGTCTGGATATCACACGCCTATTAAAAGGATAACCGTACAGCCTTTTTGCTTCCTCCCGCCAAAGCGTATATGCTCAGCCGGTCTACAAGGAGCCATCGTCGACCACTGCCATAAGATCTAGTCTTCCAAATAAGATATCTTTCGCATCTCACCCAATCTCTTCCTCGCCGCCGACAAATTGTTTTCGAGTTGTAAGATTTCAACCTGTGAGCATAAACGTTAGTAATAACCCCCCCCCCCCAGAATTGTACAAGGGAACTTGCCTGCTGCTCCATTTCTCTGACTTTGAACTCATGCGCCCCAAGCTTGGCATAATCTTCTCCTTCAACATCTTGATCTCGATCTTTGATCATGCTCTGCACTTGTCTGACAAGAGTCCTGCAGGCTGCACCGACAGCCTTACTAGCTTGCTCCAAGCTCTCTTGGCTCTTGCTCATGAAACCGGCTTTGACTCTGCTAGCAGCGACCAGCTGAGCTGTGGAGGCTGCAACATCATTGGAAGCAACGATAAGTTGTTCCGGACTGTTGCGCCCAGAAAGAACTCCATCTGCAGTCTCAATCAATGTATTGGTTGATGTTGCCACTGCTTTAGCGGCAGAGATGAGACCTTCAGTCCATCGGTTGTTTTTCTTGTAGAAAGCTGTCTTGGATGACGAGCCACGACCAGCCTGAACAATTTCTTGTTGAGTAACAGTAGCCGCTTTGATCAATCTGGCAATAGCATTTGTAACGGCAATAGCAGCATCAAGTATTGAATCGTGTATCTCAAGTTTGTATGTTGAGTATTGATCCTTGGGTTTAGACTTGAGCTTTGCTAAACGTGCAGCGGCAGCAGCGATTGCATCAGCGGCCTTGGTAAGCTCGTTGTCAACCAAATCTCCCAAGTCGCCTTTGTTGTTGGTAAGTTTACCGCTATTTGGCGCAAATGTGTCTGCAAGTTTGTTCAAGCGTTGCAAATGGATCTGTACCTCATTGTTACTATTGATGACAACCTCAGTTCGCTGCATTGGATCCATGCCATCAAGTCGGAAACTTTGCAGGGCACGGAAAAATGAAACGGTAGACTGCGCTGATTGGCGCGCACCATTGGTAAGCTGGTCGGCCTTCTTGTCGTCTGTCGCAAGCCTTGTGAGACCCTTGGTATTGCTAAGTACGTCAGAAATGGAGCTGGCAAAGACGTTGATAGTTCGGATGATTTCAGCATGAGTACTGTTTGGACCATCCGCTATGAAATTGTTGAATGCTGTGGCGAATTCGGTAGCACTTGCTGAAGCTTTTTCGATTTGCGAAAGGACATAGGATGGGGTTGCATTCTGGTTACCAGCTTGCATAGTGGAATCAAGCTCGTAAAGAGCGTCATCAACACGTTGAACTCCACTCTGAAGCACTGAATCGATGATGTCGTTGATTTTGTCAATATTTGAGAGGAGCATAGCGTCAATCTCTCCATCTAAAGCCTGATCAGTGTCGCCTTTCGACATCTCGAGCTCATTGAGTCTGATCAGCGCATCGTCCAAACTTTGCTTGTAAACTTCCAATTCGTCCTCCTTATCCTTGAGCAGTCTTTCGGCATCTGAACCACCTTCACTGTATTTGGCCTGGACATCCTGTAATGCTCTGGTCTTGTTGCGAAGAGCCTCCTCGAGATCTGCCATTTCACGATTGTACTTGGAAAGCATCGTGGACAATTCGTTGCCCTTGCTTCGCTCCAAATTGTCCGCACGATCGAGAGCCATACGAAGCTCACGCTTAAGCTTCTCGACTTCCTCCCGATTACCACCGGTGAGACGGTCTTTCTCATGTAAAGCTCTATCTCTTTCTCTGATCATATCAGCGAGCTCAAGATTCTTGGTCTTGATCTCTCGCTCCAACTTTTCCCGCTTGTCGATTGCTTCCTGAGCTGAAGCTGCCTTTAGCTGAACACTCTTAAATCTTTGAAGTAGATCGAGATGTTCGTGTCGCAATTGTGAGTATAGTTTCGCAAGTGCTTCATATTTAGTCCTCCAAGTGTTGACTTGCTCTTGTAGTGCTTTGACTTGATCCTCTTTACTTCCAATCTGTTGCCCGTAGCTGTTCTGCAGCTGCAAAAGCTCATTCTCTAAGGCCTTTAGCTTTTGGTCATATTGTTGTAGCGTAAGTTGATTGCTTGCGTACAGTGCTCGAGCCTCGAAGTTTTCCCGTTCGAGTTCCGCCATACGACCATAAGTTTGTTGTTGAGATTGTTGCAGCAGCAATTGTTCTTGATCTCGTCTTTGTTGCTCAGCCAGTTGACGCTGCTGTTCCTCATAATTTAGTCTCTGCTGTTCTTGCGCTTGTTGTTGTGCTAACATTTGTTGTCTCTGCTGCTCTGCTAGCACTCTCTGCTGTTCCTCATACTCCCTGTTTTGTCGATCCTGTTCACTCTTCCAGAACTCGCCGATTTCATCTGGCTCCTCTGTCTTAGGGGGTTTCGGAGGTGTAATTTGCCTCTCAATCTCTTGCTTCGGTCGCTGAGGTAATTTGGGAGCCGAATCGTCTTCGGAAAGGAGATTGGGTGGATCTTGCGGTAGCTTTGGCACAGTAATCAAGCTCGTGAGGTATCGGAGGTTAGAGCATTCGTAATAAAATTTTACAAGGCGGTGATGTTGGGAGTCGTACTTTTCTCTCAGGGGCGCAAGAGCATCTTCATCACCAGTTGCTGCAGGTCACGTCAGAATACAACAGGTAGATATGAGCTTCCTAACATACTTGTGTGCATAGCCCGTAACATGCTCGTGATGAACTTATAGATTCCATAACTCTCTTGGACTAATGGAACCAAGGCCGATATTCTGCATTCGTTGTGGCCTCCATTTCGAAAATGCGCAAAAATTAGCTTTTGAAACCTTTCGATCTTATCCTGCAAAGTCATAAGGTCTGAAATGGTTTCGTAACCTTCATTTGGGTCGTTGATCCCCTTTAAGCTGATGTACTCCTCGTATTCAAATGTTCCGTTGAAGTCAGGATGCTGTTGGTGGAAATTCAATTTGGACATCAAAAAGTTGACATATTCTTTTATCAGAGGTCCATAACCCCGCATACCTTCGCCAGACATGCCTCTGTTCAAACTGTCGAGCCAACTTCGATTCGCCATAGCTTCACGTAAAGTCGATGGATGACCCTCTTGTAGAACCTTGTGAACGGTAATCAATGCCTTGAATGTTTGGACTTCATCTGCAAGAATGGGCTGTCTGTGAAAACGGTTTGAAGTTAGTCATTTTCGTCTTTTTCCAACCCCTTATATCATTGGAGTCTCATGAAGTTCTAATGTCCGGTATGGTGTTTTTGCAATGCATGTACAAAAGGTTTTAGACTGACACTTTCATACCAGCCCAGAAGGCAGCCGAGCTGTTATGGTCCCATGTATAAACAATACAACTACGAACATGTTTGCGTTTCGGCGCGGTCTCCTCGATGCTTGTAGCTTTCCGAATATTAATCGCAAGCTCTGCCTCGGATCTGATCGAATGTAACAATGTCAGTACAGTTCACATAATTTGCCAATAATAGGGGATAGAAAGCTTGAGAAGCCCGAAATTCCCGCGAACTTACTTGGTGTGATCCACGTTTCTGGCAGATGTCGCGTACGACATGGTTGGGAGCGTCTAGAGCGCAAAATGTACAAGAGTAGAGAGTGTAAATATGAGAAGAATTCTCTAGGTTGAAGTGTCGGAAACACTAAAAGATTAACAAGATGAAGGTGTTGTACCGAGATATTGATAATGTATACTGTTCTGGTACTCGCCGGTAGCTTGCTTGTACGGGGGTAAGTTTTAGTGGATATGCGTAATGGGGCGGTCAATTTAATGCCATCCATGGAGCTGTGTGTGGCTGTGTAGTGTTGTATACGAATGAATGATGCACGCCCAGGAAACGCTCGAATCTTCATGCAAAGTCAATAAACTTATATTAATGCAATCTCATCTCATGATAATAAAAGACATTATTACTAAAACTTAAGCGTCGTGATGTAATCTTGAATTTATGCTTGTATTTATGAAATTACTTTGTTATTGATATATCACCATTCATTGCATATGTCCATCCTGTTCCTACCTACCATTGCTATAAACCATACAACGCCCTGCCAAATGTAGGATAACCAAGTCCTCATTTCCTATATGAACCCAGCAAATTTGCATTTATACTGCGCCGCTCATGCGCCAGACTTACTCGAAATATCAAGATTACAGCCAAACACCCAATATCATAACTCAAAGACCTGCATCTTCATCAACAAAAGTGCTTTTAGTCCGAGCTTCTCGCTCCTGTGCTGCCATCCACGAGGGTAACTTGTGTCCATCTTCCTCAGGGCTAGTTGAGGCGACTCGACGTGGGTATCGCCTCTTTGGAAGTTGGGGTGGCTCATGAGCAATAGAAGGAGCGGGCGAGGGAACATCAGTCTTGGTTTGCTGGTGTTCTTCCAGCGTCTCGTCCACATCATCTACCCATGGCTGCATATATTGAGGTGAATCTTCAGTTACTGGCGTCGTTGGTTCTGATGGTGCCGACACAACTAGGAGACCATCATCTCCAGTATCAACATTCTTTCGCGAATTACGTCTGGGCAAAGGAGGTGGTGGAGCAGTGTGATGCTGTCGTCTGGTAGGTGATTCTGTTTGGTTCCTTTGTTGCAAAACAGGAGGAGGCATTGGCTTCCGCTTAGGCACGGGGATAGGGGCCGTTTTTGTCTTTTTGTCTGGTAGAGGTAAAGGAACTCCAGGAGGAGGTAGCGGTTGTCCACGGCCCATGACGCGCGGCTGGGCTGGTTCTGTTGACTCTGATGAATTGCCTCCCCTATGCTCATTACGTCGTTGGAGAGCGTTCCACTATAAAGCCAATGTTAGTCTGTATTCAGGGGACATAAGCATATTCAGGATGAACGATATGTAGTGTCATAAAGTGAATATACTGGCTAAGCATTGGCTAGAGGGGAAATCATGATAAACTTACACCCCAGGTTTTGGCTGTTGCCGCTGCGTTGGTAACGGCGGCAAGAGACAAACGTTTGGTTTCCGGCGTTGAGGATTTCGCTGTAGATGTGGTATTCTCACGTTTTGGAGGACCCAAACCCGTAGGAGTCGAAAATTCTGACTTTATTGATGCAGTACTTAAACTCGCAGGACTCGAGGGGTAAGAATTTATACTGGATTTATCATTGAACAATGATGGCTCCAAAGAAGCTTGCGGTATTGAGTTGCTCATAGAAGCTTTCTCCGAATGTGAAGAGCCTCTCGAAGATGATGAGGATTGGCTGCTGCTGAGTTTAACATTTTTTGGTCGACTGGGAGACTCAGAGAGAATTTGTGCAGGGAGTTCTGTCTTTGCGGACAATTTAGCCATAGAGATTGCCGCGTGATCTCCATTGGGAGGGCTCGAAGGTTTGAATGCGTCCGCGTTAGTTATATCAGTAGTGACCACTGGAGAAGAGGCGTTAGCAAAGGATCCCGAACGAAGGGCTCGTGGTTTGTCGCCCGTCGAAGGTCGCACATCAACCCCTGTAGAAGAGCTACCAGACAATGGGCTGACGAGATTCGAAGTAGATTTCATGCCTTTGCGTGAATGCACCGTATTAGAAAGGTTGGTATCAAGAACAGGAGCACTATAGCTCTTTTCTATTTGTAGCGCAGGTGTTGTAGATTCGTCATTCTCAGCTTCTAGAATCTCTACCTCTTCCACGTCTCCATCCTCAGCGGCAAGAGTTTCAGCATCATGAGAGCGTTCGGCGCGTCGGTCATCTGCCCAGATGCCACCTCTCCACAGCTTGTCTACAGTACTGGCAAATGGCGAGTCATCCCAGTTGGGGAAGACTAAACTCTCAGCGATGACTTCCTTGATCCTATTTTCGATCTGGCGAAGAATCAATGTGTATGTAATCTGTCGTGAGCTTACAATGGGCTCTATTGTCATGTCTATCTTTGGCATGGTTTCAAATGTAATCCATAGCCTATTCGAGGGAGGCGGCTTAATTCGGAGAAGTATATGGCCCTCAATCTTCTTCAAGACAACGGCTAACAGTAAATCTACTTCTCGAGCTTTGAAGCGGGCGCCGAGCTCAAGACGAGCTATGGCGGCAACTTCGAGTCGAAAGTTACCTGTATAGCGAACATCAGCCTCTACGATAAGCTGTCCATCTACGGTTAAATCCTTCAAACGTGGGTTTGTGATCACTGGTGCTGCCTCTCCCATATCCACGTTGCGAAGAGTGATTTGCCTTAAAAAGTTGGGAGTTTTGACTCTTGATATCTTCTTGGTGATCTTTGCGCGAACGAAATCCTCAACTTCTGGTGTTTTGTAAAGCGCAAGAAATATCCGGCCAACTAGAGCATTTATCCATCTTGTCTGCAGGTGTTCTTCGGATGAATGTAGCCTTTGGACAAGAGTGATGATATCCTTCACATCATACTGCAAGGGAACCGGTGGTTTTGGGGTCGAGTCCGACTCTTGGTTTCGTAGAAGTGCGAAATAGAAATCTTCCTTATCAGAACAATTATCAGAAAACAAATAGAAGGGTTGAGATGGCTTGCCATCAGCAGTCATCTCTCCCACACCCTGCTTCCTTGACAAGCAAATGGCATTCCTTTTAATGAACAATTCTCCTTCTGGTGTAATATCATTCAGTCCCGAGTATATGCTAACGTCGTGATGTGCCAAAGACACTACGTAACGAACTTCGAGCTGCTCATCATCATCAAATAGCATTAGATGACCATGCCTGGCATAATCGTCAGTATACCCTGAATTTATCGGAGAAATCGAGCTTTTCTGCGGGAATTACCTTAGGACCACGTAAAATACATTGCCGCCTTTTTTCTGTGGTTTCCCCGCTGTCTTATTATCTAATGGGCCATTGTTTGTCTTCCTCTCAAACAAGCTTCTATACATGCTCTGATAAACGCTAGGACTGGGCGCAGAGACTGTAGTTGATCCAGTGGGTGTTGTTCGTTCTGGCGGCTTCCCATTCACTCCGCCTGGTGAGTATTCCCTACAGATTGCGAAATACCCAGCAGCTACGTCCGCTTCATGGTTGTTGTGAAGTTGAAACTTCTCGCCCAGGGATTTCTGTGCGGATTTAATAGCATCGACATCATCACCAGGTCGAGATATTGGATCGTAATCATTTCGTGAATCGGTGTCGTCGCGATCTGGAAAGGTAAAGTATGCGTGAAGTAATATGGCTATTACGACGAGGGGAAGAAATGTGAGACCACCTAAGCAATAGATGAAAAGAAACCATGTTAAACCTCCCATTATGATATCGCCTTCATGTATAGAGACGAAAGGGCTATAATCAACGGACCATCTCCATCAAATCAAATAGTAAATTCTGGTGAAGTGTAGGAGAAAACAACATTTGGGAAGTTGTTGACGTTTGACAATTCAAAGAAAGCAAGGCATCTAAAACATGTGGCGACGTCAGACCTGTAAACGCCGGACAATCCTTGGGATACCTTTTTCTGGAGAATTGTGGACGGTGAATTTGATTGTAATAAGAAATCATTGAAAAGCTATCATTTTCCTAGTGTTAGTAAAGGCTGTTTCTCTCAATCATGTAATGTCTCACATCCGGCATGCAAATTGAAAGATAACTTATTAAGTAGATTTGAGAGTACCAAATTGACAGTAAGCTAACAATTATAATTGAGGGAGGGGGAATATTGAAGAGCTTGGATAAAAACTTTGATTGAATCCACTACCAGTGCTCACCGGGGATTGTATTTTCACGCACTTCACCACGACGCTAACTACAACTATTGTCTGATAATCGTAGGATCTAAAAAGTACCTACACGATGTGAAACTTACTTCTGATAGTGAGCTATCTGTGGTGACATTTATCTGATCGTACGTTATCCAGATACCTATAGCACGTACGTGTGAAGTCATTCTTATCCAATAAGATACCAGTGTTATACTCGTTGATTATACTTTCATAATTGCAATTCACTCACATTCGGGTGTTATACTATAGATTTTTCATTCTTAAAAATTTGTCCCATGGCACACTAACTCTTTGCATGCATATAAGAGCAAGAAAGGAAAGAAGTAGAACTGGGTCGGTTAACCTTACAAGTTATAGCACCAATATCCATCATTCATAGTATTTCTTTATTTTGGTGGCTTTAAAATGTTATATCTCTAAGATTATGCCTCTAGAACAATATCACAAGATCCTTCAAAGTGTTGAAATTGCAGAAATAACAAAGAAAGTGCTAATTACCACTCAAGATTTGTGAAATCCACCTCCGCTTCAATAGTTGATGATAGAGCCTGCATAGCTGGTACCATGAAGGCTCTTTCCGTTTTGAGTCTCGCCCTCTGTCTCGTCCTTGTATAAAATACAGGGCAATCCTTACTATCGCATTTCACTTCCTCTAGTGGAGATAAACCAGAACAGCCTTGGCAAATGCTCTGTATGTCTAGAAACTTCTTTTCCTCAATGTTAAGTCTAGTCTGTAGAGAAAGCATCGAGTCAGCAGCATTGGACTGACACTCAGGGCAGAGGAATCCTTCGGTCTCAAGTTTGTCTTTGCAAACAAGACATGATGATGATTTCATGTATGACTCGAGTGTTTTCTTGTTTGTTGTCAGCTCTCTAAGTTGTCCTTGATCCAGATTGACCTCGAGTCGGCGAACGCGCTGAACTTTAGGCGTCTCATCGTACCAACTTCTGACATTGGCACCCATAAGGTTGAAGATTCGTTCTAATGGTGGAATCAGATTTTTAGAGATGTAGTATTCCGCATCTAGCTCGCTGTGATCGCTGTTAAGAAGTTCTTCGGGCGCGACACAGCGATCGATTAATCGAGCTCCTGGAGCGCCCGTGACGACCACATATGGAACTCGCTCACCATATTGCGGCTCTGTTCGTGCATCTTCCAGCATTTTTTTGGTGCTAATAAGAGCTCCTGCAGGTGGTGGTCCTTTGTTACTATACGTTCCAAGTTTGACTTCTTTCGCAAAGCAAAAGTCTTGAATAGATACAGAGCCTTTCATGATTTTGTCGCATTGTTCTTGAAAATATGATTTCACTTGACTGAGATCAGCCGTGCGAAAGAGTATCTTGAGAGCTTTTTCTTCAATTTTTTGTTCAGCTGGAGTGCCATCACGTCGCACGGTCTCAATGCCTTTCGCATCGAACTCAGGGTCGATCTGTGACTTGCTCTCGTACTTAAAGCCCACATATCGCTTCTTAGCTAGAAGCACGCAGGGATGATAAACTTTCTCAAATTTGAGCTTGACGGGACGAGGATTCATGTTGGTGACCGTTTTTGCAATCTCATTACCAATATCGAACGCTTCATCTTTGCTGCGACCTTTCAGATAGACAAATAAGCTGTCGGTATCTCCGTAAACCACCTCTGCACCCCATCGTTTGACCGAATGAATAAGTGCAATGGCCTTTTCAAGTGTTTCTCGCCCGGTCTGAACAATACTGTCAGCAATCTCTGAGCACGGCATGCGACCAGAAAACGATGCAGATGTATATCCGTATGTAACGTTGGCAATGAGTTTCAGAGCAAGCTGCCTATTATTCAATAATCGCTGCAGCGCTTTGTCCTCCTTGTCAAGCTTCATCCCACTCTTCACCATGACTCGAGTTTCAAGTATTTCTCCCAACATTTTGGCTAGGAGACTCTTCCGAATATTTGGTTTTGCATACATCATTCCATTGGGAGCAATGTTAATATGGTCTTTTAGCAACTCTAACAACCTGTCTTCCCTCGTATATTCAGTGAAACCCATTTTGCTAGTACCTCGCCAGTTTACGACTCGTCCCAAATACGTGGAATAACAATAGTTATAAGCAATCATAACACTAGGATACAAACTTTGAAAATCAAGAACCAGTAATGGACTGCTGTAAAAAGCACTTTGAGGCTCCATGACAAGAGGAAGACACTCCAAAGCATTTTGGCCACCCACTTGTTTTCGGCTAGGAGATATCAATATGAAGTTCTCTGGTTTTGCAATGCGAAACATCAGAGATTCTACTTTAAATTGTGAACCACGGGAGAAAACCGAGAAGAAATCAACGCCCAAAAGCCGTGCTTGTTCGCTTGTACGCGAGATCAATTCGTTCTGCTCAAGTATTTCTAGATCGAGTTCCACATGGGACACATAGTACGCGAGTACTTTAGACAAATCTCGGGCCGTCCCGTTGGTATACCAGTTCCTTAGATCGGCCCATGAATAGTGCGGAATCCGCCGGCGAAGTAGATGGAAAACCACATTTTCCAATGTATATTGAAGGAGGTTAAGCTCAGCTCTCATGGCTCTCCAGATATTGATCATATGTCGGCCTGTGACACGAATTGTGGATGTATTATCGAATCCCCATTTGTCTTTATCCTTGCCAAAACGGCCATGTGATTGATTTTTCATACGTGAGAACTCGTCACAAAGGTCATAGTCGTATTTAGTTCTTGCCCGTTCAATAAGATACCCCCAAGATCCACCATGGACCTCGAAGCCAGTCAGAATGTCTGGATCGTACTCCCGCACAATTTCGACCATACGGACGAGTAGATCGAGTTCAGAAGTCTCTACATATACCTCGAAGGGAACTTGATTGGATATCCTCTCGGCAATGTTATCTTCATCAACGGACAAGACCGCGATCCCCGACTTTGATGGGCTACCTCCAATGCCGTTATCATCCGCTTGAAAGCAGAAGAAAATACACTGAATCTCATCCTCTTCGGGATTGGGCACAAAAGTCCCTCGCGTATTAACATGAACCTCTAAACTCATGACACTCATGTATTGAGCCTCACGTTGAATATTGATAGCCTTGCCGTTTTGCGTATATTTGAAGCCATGTGGGTTCTTTTGAGTTGGGCCGTCGATTTGTGAAAGCTTCGCCTCCCTTCGGTGCCTGCTAACCGACTTGGAAGACGCGCCCCTCTTCGGCTTTTCGGATTTACCATTCATCTTAGACTCCTGATTGCGAGCCCAAGTGTGTACTTTCGCATAACTAGGCGGTGTTTCTGTAAAAGTCCAAGCTCGAAGATTGCACTCGCGGCGCTGACGATGATAGACTTCTTCGTCTTTGATTCTATCAGGGAGAACAACAGGCCCAAGCCCAAAAGTTGCGTCTGAGGTCGCAGATGGATCGAAGTCGGGAAGGAATGGCACACTCGTGCTTCCAAGTTTGAATTCTCTACCCGCCCATTCCCTAGGGCGCTCGGGAACATCTTCTTCCCTACTGTAAAAGGCATCTTGATGGAGAATTAAGGGTAGGTTGAAACTTGACATCGTTGTAGAAATAAAATGGGCTGATGGGGGAGATTGATGATGTGCCAGCAGTAATGTATCGTTACTGGCTTCAAAGCTGTCTTTGATTCCTCTGAACAATTTATCCTGAATAGAGGAACCTAGCTTTCGAATCGGGCTTGGTATCGTTGTGGAGTTTGACATGCTTACAGTCTTAACGAAGTTGTTGGTAGTCAATGCTGGATTGGGAAGGAAAGAAACGTGCCTCTTTGCTGTAGGAGTATCTAAATCCCCAAAGTGCTGACTGAGTTTCAGCATTGTGCTCGAATCGTGCGAATCTTTCGTTACAGGGAAATTGAGCGAGTCTTGAGAGGAAATCTTAGCACCAGGCGGCTTAAGCTCCAAGCTGGTTCGCTGCTCAATATGTTCATCCCTTGGTCCTAGAGATAACGTAGGAGATGATTGTAGTGGGGTCTCAGCCATTGTAATAGTCTTCCGCCGTTTCGCGTCCGAAAATTCTTGTTCTAATGGTGGCCTCTTCCGTTCGGGATTAATGTCTTGGCTCCTATGGTTATGACCGCTATCATGATCAGAATCAATCTGACTAGCCAAGTGACTAATTTCTGCAGATTTTGAGGCCAGAGCATCTGCTACGACAGAGGCTGTTTGGGAGTGTACAAAATTGTGATGAGCTTTGCTTTCTTTGAGCTGAACTGCTTGCAATTCATCTAATGAAGCAGCACTGGAATAAGCTTCGTCACCAGACATCGCATCTGTTTCAGATTTGGGTAGGGCTTCGTCAATATAATCTCCTTTCCGTTTTTGGGAAAACTCGATCTCTCTCATGATATCCTCATCAGAATCGTAATCGTCTTCATTTTCTTCTTGGCTGATTGCAAGTTCCACAAGGGTTTCGTCCACCTCTCTTTCTCCACGGTGGCCATGCAAATTGTAATGGCCCTGTTCCTCATAGACTGATTGGAAAGCGAGACGAAGATTCTCAGGGTACAAGTCTTCCACCGACTCAAGGCTAGTTTTCACGGAAGTCTCGAAGGGCTTTGGTTTGACGAATGTTTTGAAAGTTGGTTTTGAATGGTCGCCTCCATTCCATTCTTGTTGGATGAGCCCTCTGACCATTTCCCTGTGCTCGCCTTCGTGCATCCATCCACCATTCTGGGAATATCGAGGGTCAGCTGACATAGAAAACAATACCTCGGCTGGGAATGGGCTACTACCAGCCGTTGCATTTGGAATTTTAGACTTTCGACGACGGGTTTCATCTTTCCAAAGACCTGCCATACTTTGTACTAGCTTCTCGTCGGGGGCAGAAGGACCAAGGTTTTGAGCGAAGTCATGGTGGAGCAGACGTGGCTTGACATCCCTCCTATTGAGAATATTTTGGACACAGATATCAACTTCCAATGAACAATGGCTGACCCTAGGGAGATACACGTCGTTCGTAATGAGATGATCAGATATTGAGCGGTCATGCCAAAGGTGCATTGATGAGGAAATTTCATTATATAGAGGCACTGGACCTCGAAATGTAGCCTCACTAGAATCGATATATCCACATCCATACAAGTTGTAGTCCGCCATCCACTGAAGAAGAAATTGAAGATGGGCTTCATATGGTTGAAATACTCGCTTCATAACAGTACCCTGACGCAAGATATCCGCGAGACGCGTCATTACCATGGGATTCAACATGTAAATCTTAAGATAGAAGCGATATCCAACATGGAAGCCATAGAATGGAACCGCCTTTACTAAGGTAATACGGGCGACAAATTTGGCATTTCCATCATATGCATTACGACGATAGCTTACCGCCAGGGCATAATCAATTGAAAGATGAAGTCTGTGGATATACCTTCCAACTACACATTTATCAGCCATCAAAGGAGCAATCGAAATTTAGCAAAGACTAACCTTCGTCGGGATCAAGGGACCCTTCATACTCAATATACAAATAAGGAAATGCTCCATGGATATGTGCGCAGACCTTCTGACCTGTCTCCGTCGAGCCAAAAATTCTAATGACAGGTACTTTCGGCTCTTTATGAATATCGGAAAGTTTGATGTTTCGTTTCAATTGAGGATCAAATTGAGAAGATGTAGCTTGATAATGATCAATGCAATTGAGACGTATTCGAAAGAGGTCCATGGCAATTGGACGTATTAGGATGGAGGCACCCAGCGAGAGTCGATGTTGTCAGTTTTCATGACTTCGCATTTCTCACTATACCTTCAAATGCCAAAGAGAAAAACCGTAGGAAGTGCCGTTCCTCTTTTATCTTCATTCTCTTTCTCATACCACATCTGAGTGGCGCAAACACGAACGCGAAAGCAAAGCTACGCCAAGTCACGGGACTAGACTTGGGTCTAGAAGTGCTGACAGAGCGTACCTTATCGCCGCTACCCAATAGAGTTTATCAATCGATCCACATCCTGTCTTTCCTACATCCACCTATTCTATTCTCTTTAGTCCAGAACCCAAATTATTGTTTGATACTCGACCGCCTTGATATACAGCTTCGACCATATCATCGAATTTAATACGTACTGTTACTGAAATACCAAGAACTGATACAATCCTTTTTTATTTTTTATTTTTCTGATATAGCGAAACCTCCAAAATGCCTCCCGCAGGTACTCAACCTCGAAAGCCTGAACAATCTGCAGCAAACAAGGACCAGAACGAGTACATCCCAGCTTTTATTGCAAAGAAGCCATTTTATATCGGCGACGATGATAACACGGATTACCTCGAGCATCAGCGCCTTCAAAAAGCCCAACTAGATCAGTCGAAATGGTATGATCGTGGAAAGAAATTGGGTCCTGCAGCCACCAAATTTCGAAAAGGCGCATGCGAAAATTGCGGAGCAATGACACACAAGGCGAAGGATTGTTTGAACAGACCTAGGGCAAAAGGTGCCAAATGGACCGGAAAGGATATACAGGCAGATGAAGTTATACAGGACGTTGATTTGGGATGGGATGCGAAGAGAGATCGCTGGAATGGATACGATGCGAAAGAGTACAAGACCGTCACAGATGAATATGCGCAGCTAGAAGAACTGAAGAAGCAATTACAGAGTGGTCATAGCAAAGATGGAGAAGAAGCTGATGAGGATGGCGATGATGATGGCGCGAAATACGCCGAGGAATCAGACATGGGCAGACATCAAAGTACATCGACAAGGCAGCTGAGAATACGCGAGGACACAGCAAAATATCTATTGAATTTGGACCTAGACTCGGCGAAGTACGACCCAAAGACTAGATCTATGGTGGACAGTGGAGCGACGGCTGATACGGCTGCGGCGCTGGTTGCGGAAGAAGGATTTTTGAAAGCTTCTGGAGATGCCGCCGAATTTGAAAAGGCGCAGAAGTACGCCTGGGAGTCTCAGGAAAAGGCTGGTGACACAAAACAACATTTACAAGCCAACCCTACCTCTGGCGAGTACTACAGAAGAAAGGAGAAGGAAGAGGCTGAGGCCAAACAACAGGCGCACAAAAAAATGCTTTTGGAGAAATATGGCGGAGACAGCAATCCTATGGCTGCAAAGCTTAGGGATGCAGCCGTTATAGAGTCTGAGAAATATGTGGAATATGATGAGACGGGTGGAATCAAGGGAGCACCAAAGGCCTCTGCGAAGTCTAAATATCCTGAGGACATTCATCCCAATAATCACACATCTGTATGGGGAAGTTGGTGGTCTAACTTCAAATGGGGTTATTCGTGTTGTCATTCGCTGGTCAAGAACAGTTACTGTGTTGGAGAAGCAGGTAAAAGTGCCTTTCAAGATGCAGAGCGTGCTCGAATAGGAGGTATCCTGATGGATGAGGACACAGAGGAGGTTGAATCAGCAAAGATTGAGGTAGATAAGCCTTCCGCTATTACACAACAGACGAAGAAACGCACTGCAGAAGAGATGCACTCGGGTGTTTCGGAGGAGGATATGGATGCATGGAAGAAGAAGCGTATAGCAGCCGACGATCCAATGAATGCTTTCATAGGGAAAGACGAATTAGTATGACAAGGATTCAATAATTAATCATTGACATCTTATTTGAACATTGAAATCATCACTGCACGTTTAATCGCAAGCCGCTTTCACTTACCCAAAACATTCGGGGAACAATATCAAAAATAGAAAGATCGCTTTTGGTACTTGGATTAGCTAATGTATAATAATGTTGTACGCGTTCCAACATTAATTCTTTGATAAAATCACAAATTGTTCGTCGAATGGTATATTCATGGAACAATAAAGTCATTAAAAAAAGTGATCATTAATAATTCATCATGGAATACGGCTTTTATTTTGTAGCTCGACGCTGAGATGTCTGCTTTACATGCGTAACCTGCCCTAACCCCTGCTAAAATGTAACCCTCATGATGTGGATAGGAAAGATTTTGGTATCAAAATGTTCCTCTATTCCTCATCCTCTTCCTCGGCATCATCATCCTTCTTCTCGGAAGCCTTGGCCTTCTTTCTGCGGACACGACCTGGGCGTCCACCTCCGAATGGCGAGCTCAATGCGAAGTCGATGTGCTTTTGGGAGTCGAGACGGACAACGAAGGATGGAACGTTGACGATTTGCTTACCAACACGGATGTGTCTCTGGCGGATGAGGACACGAGCGTGGTGGATGGACTTGGCAAGACCGAGCTTGTAGACACAGGTTTGAAGACGACGCTCCATGAAATCCTCAATCTTCAAGGCCAAAACGTAATCGAGCTTCATGCGGGACTCGTCGAGGACACCGACACGGACGAGACGACGAATGAGGGCGTTACCTTCGAAAAGTCTCTTTGGGTCCTTCTCGTCAAGGGTGAGCAATTGACTATATAGAATATGTTAGCACATTGAAAACTTCTCGAAAGAAGGAACTTCACATACCGGGCAGCACGACGAATCTTGGAGAGAGTCAACTGTACACGCCAGACCTCACGCTTGTTGCGGAGACCATACTCTCCGACAATCTTCAATTCGGAGTCCCTAGGGAATAATCAGTGACATGAACAGAGCAAGCTCTAGAACAGTGGTCCACTTACAAACGAGCACTCTCGAAGCTATAAAGTTGTCAGCATAAATTACAAAGTGCAAATAGGTAATTATAAGAGAACTTACGGACGACGTGGGACCTTGTAGGTCTTGGAGTATGAACGTCTGTTGAGAAATATTAGCAAACGTACTCAAATTGGCCTTGTTGCGATCGAGGTGATGTTCCCAAAGCGATTCGATTCAAGGCCAAAAAATCCAAATAATTTCAAGATCAATTGGAGTAAATCTGAAGCTTCAGAATATGGACAATACGTACGGGGCCATTTTTGCTGATACGTCGAGTCGATTGTCGTCGTGAGGTTGTTGATCGCTGGCTGTAAATTTTGTTCCTGTAATTTTTCGATGTTCCGGAATTTCAATTAGGGCATTTGACCCGAGCTACCACCAAAGCGGGAAGGCGCCAAATTAAGCGAAGATTTTTGAAAGTTGGAGTTGCCGATACCAGCGTCAATTTGCAATAGAAAAGATTATCGACAATTTCTGAATAACTTCGACCTCCCTCCGAATACCCATCCTACATCGACAAAATGGGTCACCCAGCAGGTCTCCGCGCCGGTACTCGGGTGAGTTCATTATTTTCCATTTAATTGCTCGATTTCAAGAGGATTGCTACGGCCACAGCTTTGAATTCGATGCGACGACGGCAATTTTGGAATCGAGAGCAGTAACTAACTCATTTCCAGTATGCATTCAGCAGAAACTTCAAGGATCATGGTATGATCAAGTTGTCGACCTACTTGAGACAATACAAGTATGTAGAAGTCCATTTCTACGCAATTTCGAAATGTCGCAAAATACTAATCAATTTTCAGGGTCGGTGATATTGTTGATATCAAGGCAAACGGTGCCGTTCAAAAGGGGTCAGTCAAATTCATCAATCATATATAAATCTCCCAGGCAGAATCGACATGGAGATTTGCGAGAAGATGGTGGAATAATTTGGAGGACGAATTCGTGTACTGACTTCTGTTCAGTATGCCCCACAAGGTTTACCACGGAAAGACTGGTGTCGTCTACAACGTCACCAAGAGCGCCGTTGGTGTTATCATCTACAAGAAGGTTAAGCACAGATACATCGAGAAGCGTGTCAACCTCAGAATCGAGCACGTCTCCCTTTCCCGCTCAAGAGAGGAGTTCGTTCGCAGAGTCAAGAAGAACGCCGAGTTGAAGAAGCAATCGAAGGCCGACGGTACCCACGTTCACTTGAAGAGACAGCCAGCCATGCCAAGAGAGGCCAGAACCATTTCGATGAAGGATAACGTACCAGAGACAATTGTACCAATCGCATACGAGACGACTATCTAAGCTCTGGGCTAGGGTTTGTTTGGGTTTCTTTGCGGGATATGATACAATGAGGGTCAGAGGCTTCTAGCGTTGCATGATAAAAATTAAATATGTGCAATACCTTCAAGAATCTGATAGGTTTCCAACAGCATCCGATGACACGCATGGCCATGTGTTTGCATCAAATTTCAGTGAACAACGATCTCTTTCCTCGATTTTTCCCCCATCTCTTTATCCTTTCGGAGCCGTATTTGTCACGCTTAGGTAGAAGATTTCCCACTTCTCCGAAGCCCTCACAAGTGTTCCAAGAACAACCCCAGTCGAGTTTGGCGTTTGATCATCCAGAGTCTCCTATGTTCTGGATGCAGCCTCATTTGAATACATTACAATCTCCCCTACCATATTTGTTTTCTATGATGCATGCCATCAAGCAGATCTACGAAGAGTTTCCTCTCCTTGTCTCACAATGTTGAGTCTAGATCGGTGCTATTCACATGATGTTTCTTGCCCTGGTGTGGGTTTCGAGAGAATAAAAATCATACAATTACGTTTCTTGTTCTTGAGGTGTCAACTGGATGTGATTTGAGTGAGAATAGTAATGTCGAAAGCATACCGGCAGTAGATATCAATTAACAACATAATTCCTTGGATTTGCGCGTGATCTATAAAAAACTGTACTCCACACATCGATGGTAAATGATCTACATCTGGCACCTGTCGTGACAATGCACCAGAAAAGATCGGTACTGGCCGAGGAGGCGAGAGATCCAGCCGCGTACAACTTAACCTTCTTGGTGCACGAATTTGCGGGGGGTGCAGCATAGCCACGGTAAGAATATGAAGAGAGGCGCGTATTTGGATACTATCACATAATAAATACGGAAAAGTTACCTCTTCGCGGTTTTTTATGGTTTCAGCAGAGATAGTGGTAATGAGGATCGAGTCTTAAGATCCAGTCCTCGAGAATCTCGACTTGCCCATTTCAGTCTTGACTCTTGAATGGAAGGATATCAGAAAGCAAGATGGTGCTATGACTTACGGAGTCGCCTGAAGAAAAGCCGGCAAAAGAAGAAATGCGAGACAAAACTATTCGGGACTTGCGAGTTCAGACCTTCCTCATAAAGCTAATCCCTGAGGTGGTAGATACCGGAGACTGGGGACCTCGTACCTTCCGAGGCTTCCTTCTTCATCTGATAAGTGATGGGTGAGGAGTGATTGGGGATGGGGGATGGGGGATGGGGGATGAGTGATGAGCTGACACAAGTAAGCATATCAAATGGAAAAGTGATTCATGAAAAGTTAATAAAAGTCTTGGGAGTGTCAAGGATGATGATTTATTGGTTTATTGATTGTGATTGTTAAGATACTAGGTAGGAGGTGGTGGTGATACTGATTTTGATATCTATTGATATGATTGAATGAATTATTTTGATTCTATTGATTCATTAGATATCTCTACCTACCTAGGTAGTATCAACTTTCCCCCTCTTCCATAACCCCTAATAAGAAGTGCGGAGTACGGAGTACGATATACGACGTACACCAACCACTTGCATGCATGAAGTAAGTCTGAATAAGTCAAATATGCATACAATCCGTTAGAGAAGCCTGGATTAGAATGATAGATAGATAGATAGATAGATTGATTGATTGATTGATTGATTGATTGATTGATTGATTGATTGACTGATACCAAGACAGAGAGACAAACCCTTTTAAATCGTATGTGAGGAAATGAATGCTTCTCTTTGTAACCCCCTAATAATACTCGATATAGGTAGGTAATTAATAAATGATAGTTAAAACCTCTACCGGTACATCTACATATACCTAGTACACAGTACTATACTCGCATAATCGTATACTTTGAACATTACATACCTACTTATTACTTATTTATACATGACATTATTATGTTTTACAAGATTCTACAAATTGTCTCTTTTTATTAGGGAGTAATTCATTCTCTGTTCCTCTCCTCCTCTCTTCTCTCTTTTTCCTCTTCTCCCTTTTCCCTTTTCCTTGCTTTTCCCTCTCATTTTTTGACTTTTCCCTTCTCTTGTATCCTCCATCCGAGTGGGATTTTGATTGGGTAGCATCATCCAGCGTTTAGACGTATGACGCCGCGTCGTTTTCCGTTTTCCGTTTTCCTTTCCTGGCAAATCTAAAGAGATTTATTATTATCTGGATTATCGGAAATTCATAACCCGATCAAAAGATACCTCGATAATGCTGTACGAGCACTTGCTATACTTTCTCCCAACTTTTGATTTTCTCTCAGCTCTCAATCTCTCTCTCTCTCTCTCTCTCTCTCTCTCTCAATTCTCTCTCTCTCTCTCAATTCTCTCTCTCTCTCTCTCAATTCTCTCTCAATTCCTCTCCCTCTCTCCTCTCTCTCTCCCTCTCCTAACCCTTCAAAGGAGTAATAAATAATCTTTTATTCAAACTAAGTACTTACTTTTTTCCTTTTCTTTTTTCTCTCTCTTACTCTTATTCTTTCTTCTTTCTTTTTTTTTCTCCTTACATACATTTCTTCCAATTTTTTATTCCTCTTGTACTGTATTTTATCAAACTCCAATCCCTTTCTCGCTGTGTCTTTCCCATTCCCACCTTTCATCGGTTCAATACGTAAACGCATCAGTAAAGATTCCGAGATCTCAAAGTACCTTCCTGGTTTAGGTCGTTAGGCACATTTACTGCCGCTAATCTACTACGTAATAATCGTCAACTCGCATTTCTTTGGTGGCTTTCTAATCGGGAACGAGGCTCTAAGCCTCTTCAAAGAATCAAATGTCCGAGTAAGTCTGTTATGTTATGTTATATTATATGATACTTGACTTGACTTTATCATAATGATGTGATCAATCTCATTCATTCATGTGGTCAAAAGGAAAAGAAAAAATTTATTTAAATCATGTTCAACAACAACAACAACAATAACTAACAATGCAACCAATCGTACAGCTTCATCCACATCACTGGATGGACTCAATATAATCACCGTCGGTCCTTACAACATATACGCTCTCTCTCGGGTTCTTCTACCAAGACGATAACAAAATCAATATCGACTACCACCCTGCCTACGATGGCGACAGTATCAAACGCCCCTGGAATACCTCCGCCAAGGGCTTTCGCTCCCTATATGGATCACGAGGAGAATTTGAGTACTCTTCCGGATCCTCGGAGTAGAGTCTCGTCACCTACAATTGACGGCCCCGTCTCGAACCAAGAACAGTATCAAGAGCTGAGCAATGCACATTTGAGCGAGGAGGTTACAACACTGAGCAAAAAGCTTATAAACGCCATAAATCAACAGACGACTCTCGACGATAGTTTGAGCGCCACTCGACATGAACTGGAGGCTTCAAGAGAACGAAACAAGCAGCTAGAGCGGGAAAATCGAGAGCACAAAGCGCTAGTATCGAATGGAGTACTGATACGGAGCTCAATCGCCGAAGCCGAGAAGGCCAAACTCAATGCGACCTTGACAGAAGAGAGGAATAAAAGGAGGGAAGTTGAGAGAGAAAAGAAGAGTATCGAGCTAGAATTGGAGAATCTTACCACGGCTTTATTTGAGGAGGCGAACAAGGTTGGTCTAGGTATATTCTTTCAATGCAATAAATGCTGACATTGACAGATGGTTATCACGGCTCGAGAGCAAGCACAGAAGGAATATGATATCGTAAATAAGAAGAACGATCAACTAAAAGCACAACTTCAGGAGGCAGAGAATTTACTAAAGTCGCAACAAGAACAGTTGGCAGAATTGAAGCAAGTTATGGAGCACATGACCGAGGAACAGGATGATCAAACAAACCAAACAAATGGTACCGCACCGTCAACTCCAGCTTTACATCAAACCGATCGCAAAGACGAGAATATGCACAACTCGGACTCGATACAATCTTCGTCAATCCCGGAACCGGTCTCACCTTCATATCCTACGAGTTTCTTGCACCTGATTCAACCAGTCCTTC